AGAGAGACAGAGAGAAAGGTCTTCCTTTACCATTGGTTCACCCTCCAATGGCCACTGCTGCCGGCGCACCGCGCTGATCCAAAGCCAGGAGCCAGGTACTTCTCCTGGTCTCCCATGCGGGTGCAGGACCCAAGAGCCTGGGCCATCCTCCACTGCACTCCAGGGCCACAGAAGAGAACTGGACTGAAAGAGGGGCAACCGGGACAGAATCCGGCGCCCCAACTGGGACTAGAACCTGGTGTGCCGGCACCGCAGGCGGAGGATTAGCCTATTGAGCCATGGTGCTGGCCTCAAAAATGAATTTTTGAAAATGAAGTGTAAAATAATTTTATGAAAACATCTATAAGATAAATTACAGATTAGTATTCTGGGAGACTGAAAAGAGGAAGATAGGAAAAGTAATATGGAGGCAGGAGGGAGTAACACAAAAATCTTTAGGATTACTTGAAGTAATATATAAATAGACTCTTTCCATTTATAGTAAACAATGGCAGACTTACAATTAGCTTTATAAATTATTTTACTTTTAAAATCCAATGAATAAAATCAGTGAAGTTGAATCATCACCTAACAATATCCACATCAATTATAAACAAACAAAAAATCAAAAATTCTTAAAATTTTCTTTATTCTTAAATTTCTTAAATTCTTAAAATTCTTAAATTTTTAAATTTAATTGGAGTCATATCACTCTTGGGGGTATGAAGTAAAATTTTTTTAAAAGATTTTATTTATTTATTTGAGAGGTAGAGATATAGACAGAGAGACAGCGAGAGAGGTTGTCCATCCGCTGGTTCATTCCCCAAATGGTTACAACGGCTAGTGCTGAGCCGAATCAAAGCCAGGAGCCCGGAGATTTTCTGGGTCTCTGACATGGGTGCAGGGGCCGAAGCACTCAGGCCATCTTCCACTGCCTTCCTAGGCCACAGCAGAGAGCTGGATTAGGAGAGAAGCAAACGGGACTAGAACCAGTGCCCATATGGGATGCCTGCACAATAGGCAGAAGATTAACCTACTGAGCCGCAGTGCCAGCTCCTAAAGTCAAATTATAACATTCAGAGTACTAAACTTAGTCAATAACCTTTTCCTCTTAACTGGGACAAATATTTTAGCCTTCTTGCCTGCTAGCTTGTGAGTGTGTGTGTGTGTGTGTGTTCCTTTAGATGCTCAGGAAAACAGTGAACTGCTTTCCTTTAGAAATTCTTTCTGAATTCTGGATTGTGAAAAGTACATTTTATCCAAGAGCATTTGGTAGTCGATTCTTTTAATAAAGTGTAATTTACCCTTTGGGGCAGTATGCAGTTTATTTTGCCCTTTGAGCACAGATGTGTCACAATCTTATGAAAGAAAAGACTTGTTTACTCAGCAACTCTAAAGGTCATCAATATCATGAAGAGAATATGATATAGGAAACATTTTGATGTATTACACACAGGCTCTCTGTACACAATGATCAGATTTATCTGCTAAAATAAACTCAGATATTCTATGGGAACTAGTATTTTGAAATGAAAATAGCCACTTTTTCTTTTTTTCCCATAAAGGAAGAATATTCTTTTTATTTTAATAAATAAAATCAATCTCACAGCAATGATAGGAATTATTGCAAAAGTACTAAAATAATGGTCCCAACTGTTTAATGAGGTGAAACATAAATGTTTATGTTTTTTTTATTTCTACTAAATATCTCTTTTATTTTAACATTTACATTGAATAACAGAATACATTCTAAAGAGTATTCTTTAGATACAGTGGATAGAGGATATGTAACTTTTATCCTGGCAAGCTATAAATTATTAAGCACAATATATAATTCACAACTAAGAGGACATATCTCTCATGCAAAGATGTATCATGCCTGAGGAGGAACTAATCCAGCCATTTTCAACTCAGTGAAGGAAAATTCCAGTTTTACAGTTTTGCTGTCCAAAGTATGTTAGCTCTTCTACTTACAATTAAAATAAAGTACAAGTAAGTTTTCCATCAAATTAAATAGATGGCATTTATATAAAGAGAAAACACAAATTCAATCAGAATTTAAATTATTTAGTTTGAATCCACTAGATGAATGCTGATAAGGGATTGAATACACATAATAATGGAGATTGCTCACTCTTAGTTTACTTAACTGTTTGACTCCTGTCTATTTAACAATTCAGGGAGTGAGGCTGGTAGAGGAAATAAAGGGTAAAGAAGAAAGAGGGAAACAGAAGGAGAAGGAGGAGGAAGACTCTTTCTGAAGTATGGAGGGAATAAAACAATATTTCCTTCCCCCACAAAAGAAATGCTATTTCCTTTTGCATTTAAAGATATAGTTCTAATGAAATGCAACACAATAAAATCCTGGATCCGCCTCTCAGATAAATATGCTATGATCCCTTTCCTGATGACAAGTACTTCATCCTAAGTGTTGTTAGAAGCAGTGTTGGGTTGAGAAGATAGGAAGTATATGAAAAGGCATGCGGGAGACGGAAAACCTAGGTTTTTTCCTATCTCACACTAATCAGCTGTATAATGCTGGGCCAAAGTTCCATGATGCCGAGCCTCAATGGCCTTATTGCTAAAATGGAAATGTTGGCTCATATCAGAACCAAAGATAGAGTAATCTCCTTTTCTGAAGCTGCTATTTAAATAAATCAGAGATGAAGCCTGAGAGAGGAGTGCCAATTCTAAGTCTTAAAATTTCAATTAACATAAAGCATACACTAAATGTGTCTTAAACATTTAGTGTCTATTGAAAGCACAAGAAATCTAGCTATTTCAACAGAAGTTAATTCAGTGATGCAACAGCAATATGTTTTCTAGGAGTTAGCATTTCCATTCTTTCACCATGTTGTCCTTAGCTTGGCAGCTACCATGTACACCCTGTTCCTCAAGAGAGATGTGGCTGTTTCAGCAATCATATATACAAACACAATTATGTTCAATAAGGAAAGTAATATTTTATGGTGAGTCTTTTATTACGTATGGAAAAGTTTTCTAGAAATTTCTTTTCAGTTTTCCTCATAGACTCCATTGACCAGGGTTTGGTCACATACTCTGAGAAATCTAGAATTGATCTGAAAAATAGTTAAAGAAAATGTCACCTTTCCAGGGAAAATAGAGAGGCGTTCTTCAACAAAATTAGGGATTAGCCATCATGGGAAAATGAACAAGTGTGAATGAGTAGATAAAAAAGGTCTGTGACAAGGCCACCATTGTGGTGTAATGAGTAAAGCTGCCAACTGCAATGAAGCATCTCATTTGGGCACCAGTTTGAGTTCTGGCTGCTCCACTTCCAGTCCAGATCCCTGCTCATGTGCCTCAGAAAACAGTGGAAGACAGTCCAAGTCCTTAGGCCCCTGTCACCTACATGAGATACCAGGAGGAAGCTTTGCGCTCCTGGCTTCAGGCCAGTCCTGCTCTGGTTATTGTCACCAACATGGGGAATGAACCAGCAGATGGAAGATTTCTCTCGGTGTCTCTTCCTCTCTCTTTCTCTCTCTCTCTCTGTAAACTCTACCTTCCAAAGAAATAAATAAGCATTTTTTAAAAAAATGTCTGTGAAAAATGTATTCTTAAAAATGACAGCAAGTGATTGTATGTATGTGTATGACTGGTGAATTCTAAACTAAACAGTGACTAAAGAACCTTCTTGTTTACATAAATTGGTTACTATGATTTAAGAAAATGATTGGAAAATAAATCCTAACATTTTAAAATAATTTGTTTAATATATGTGAAGTATGAAATTACTATATCATAGTATCCTATTCATTTCAAATACAAATAACCATATACATGGAAAAAATCACTTCTGGTAAACCATGAACATAAAGAGTAGACTATCTTACCATTAAGAAACACCCTGCTTAGTGAAGATGCTGATCTGCTGTAGATTTCAGGAGCATTCTGGTCGTGTACACAGTAATGGAAGAAAAAATCACATTTGCTGTAGTTCTTATCTGGAAAGATAGAGGCAAAACAAATTTTAAAAAAAAACTATTTTTGAGTTGACAAAGTCCTTTGAGAACTTCACACAAACTTAGGTATGTCACAAAATATTAGAGTGACTCACTCCTCTCATTTTGGAACCAGTAAACATGGCATGTAAAATTTTATTCTCCTGAGTCTGTCTCTTAAGGAATCAAGTTTGCTCTAAGGATTCTTAAATTACTGAGGGATATGGAATGAGGATTTGAGTTTGAGTTTATCTCTAAGTAGTTGTAAATTCAAAGAATTGTTTGAAGAAATAAAATTGTAGATAGGAAGGCAAAAAGCTCTCAAGTATCCCTACTGACCAACCATTTATTAATTTATCTCTTAAAATTGCAAAAAAAGTAGTATCTTTTAAAATGTTGCAGAGCACATGATAAGATAAAGGAAAGATGAGAGCTACCTTGTTGAACTCTAATCCTGTCATAGAAGTCTTTTCTGGAGGACTCTCCCACCTTTGTCCACGAGGCTTACTTTCCCATGAGCTCCCAATGACCTTAGATATGTTTGTTTGTGTCACTTAAATCAGGGAAGAGTCTTATATTTTATATTAAATAGGGAAGAAAATGGACATAAATAAATCACTATCATTTGCTATCAGGTCTCCTTAAATTATATAGAAACTTAAAAAAAGTCTTCGTGAAAGATGATGAGTCTACACCCTTCATTCTTTCAAATCATAATCATAAAAATCAGAACAAACAACGTGATTTAGTTTAGCAGATGCAGTGACTCTGGGGAACAACAAGGCCTCGGGATTGGTGTTCCTACATGGAGCTCAGAAGACTTAGAAAGCAGTCTCGGATCTGTTTGCGATTTGTGTCCTCGGAACAGCATTTAGACTTTCAATTTCCTTTTCTTTCACCTGTAAGATAAAGATAATACTTGACATAGCCTACCTCACACAATATAGTGAGAATCAACAAGGTGATCCCTGTAGAGAATTTTAAAGATATTTTACATGAATTGAACACGAATCACTTGAAAATGGCCAACTTCTTCTCATGTCATCTTTTGCTTTGCAGAAATGGCAGCATTATAGTCTTATTTGACCTTTTCTTTGCCCAGTGGGTGTCAGATGAAAATGTAAAAAATGAACTGATTCAAGGCATTGAAGCGAATCAATCCAGCCAACTGGTCCCTTTCCAGATTGATTTGAGCAGCATCGACATCACAGGTATCTGTGAGCATTATTTGATTTCTTTGAATCATTAAGCTATGAAATTAAAATTCTAGCAATATACCAGAGAAGCAGTGGGATCATCCTTGACTTTAGTAGCATGTCTTATTGCTTGATGTAACAAATTTACATGAGAAAAGTGAAATATGGAGAAAACATATTTGAAGAAAAGTCACTGAGAAACAGTTTGTAAAATATCAAAAGTTTCTGAATGCATAAGCATCCATAAACATTTATGAGTTTTGTCACATTCATTGCATTGGTCAAGCACACCCTGACTTCAAAATCTCTCTATTAGAAAGGGTCATCACTTTCTGATTAAATTATAGATATTGTTAGGTTATGGTGTCAAGTGGCAAGGTCCACTGTTTAAGAAGAAAAAATGAAAAAAGAGAGGAGTCAGTTTTACTAACCTTAGTTACCTATTTGTAAAAATAAAATAGTATCTTTAAAATTAAAAAAAAATTTTTTTTGACAGGCAGAGTGGACAGTAAGAGAGAGAGACAGAAAGAAAGGTCTTCCTTTTTCCGTTGGTTCACCCCCCAGTGGCCGCTGCGGCTGGCGCACCACGCTGATCCGAAGCCAGGAGCCAGGTGCTTCTCCTGGTCTTCCATGCAGGTGCAGGGCCCAAGCACTTTGGCCATCCTCCCCTGCACTCCCGGGCCACAGCAGAAGGCTGGACTGGAAGAGGAGCGACCGGGACAGAATCCGGTGCCCCAACCAGGACTAGAACCCGGTGTACCGGCGTCGCAAGAGGAGAATTAGCCTGTTGAGCCGCGGCACCGGCCAAAATGAAAAAGTTTTTAAAGGTTTATTTTATTTATTTGAAAGGTACAGTTACAGAAAGGGTATAGACAGACAGAGAGAGAGAGAGAGAGGTCTTGCACCTGCTGATTCACCCCTCAAATGGCCACAGCGACTGAGGCTGGGCCCTGCCGAAACCAGGAGCCAGGAGCCAGGAGCCAGTATCTTCTTCCAAGTCTCTCACATGGGCGCAGGGGTCCAAGCACTTGGGCCATCCTCTGCTGCTTTCCCAGGTGCATGAGCTCGGAAGTGGAGCAGCTGGAACTGGAACTGGTGTTGATATTGGATGCCAGCGCCGAAGGCCAGGGTTTGTAACCTGCTGCGCCACAACACTGGCTCCTCCAAAAAACATTTTTTACCATAAGAATAAATAAAAGGCGAAGAGACATAGGACATTAAAAATAATAACTTTGCAATAAAAGTATTAATAGATAGATTATTCTAAAGTTTCCTATCTAGCTTATCTCCATCCAATTCAATTCTACAAACATTTATGCCATGTGCTTATTTTTGTCAAGGAGATTAGCAATTTGCCAAGCTCATACAGGTCCCCAGTTTCTTATCTGTAAATTTCAGGACCAAGTGTTATTTTAGAATTCTGAATTCTTGGGATTTTAGGAAGCTAACATCTGAAAACCTCAATGCATCAATATTCATACCCAATGGAATAACTGAATAACATAGCATCAGCTCAAATAGCCTTGGTACAGAATGAAGTCAGTCACTTAGGGTTGCCTAAAATCAGTTACATAAAAATGTGGAGAAATTAATATTATTGAAACTATTTACTCATTTGTTTAGAAGGCAGAGCTACAGAAAAAGAGATAGGTGGCAGAGGTCAAAAGTACTTGTACTGTGTTCTACTGCATTCTCAGATACCTTAGCAGGGTGTAGGATTGGAAGCAGAGCACTCTGCGCTTCAACCAACTCTCCAATATGAGCTGTAGGCATCACACCACATTGCTGATCCTTACTATTTTGTTTTGATTTAATTTTGAAATATTAGACATGAACTTGTAAAACTCCGGTTGCTTCTCAGCAATGTCGGCTCATCGTGAAACCTGCCTTCCATGAAGCCTCCGGATACATCCTGCAGCTCTTGGCAGAGAGAAGACAACTGATATTTGCAGTGGGTTCTCTGCTGCTGATTTGATTCCCTCTAGCACAGCTACTATAGCAGAGCCCATTTGGGGTCTTGATCTGGCTCAGAGGAGCTGGAAATTAGTTCTAGCCATTATTAGTCAGAACTGCTGGTTGAACTAGCAACACATGTACTCACCATATTAGATATGTTATATAATATGAAGAAAAAGTGCAAATAATTTTGGTAAATTGCTTAAACTCACAAACTGAGAATTGGATTGAGGATTCTGGCCTAGTTGCCCTACTGGAATGCCCATTCTCTTTAGCACTACACTAGAGTTTGCTTGTAATGATTTTATCTTTAACAATGTTGATTTTTTAATGTTTTCTTCTAAAAATGTGGTTTCTTGCTCATTAAAGGTGCCTTAGTTTCTGGAGTTCTATTCTGACAGATATGATTAAAATTATTTTTATTATTCCCGATAGTTGGATTACCATGGGGAGGAGAGGTAATGGATTTTAAAATTAGATATTTATTCAATATAACCATATTATTTGAGTTAACTTGGAATCACTATCACAAATAAAATAAAACTTATCAAAACATCAACTCAAGAATATTCCAAGCAATTTGAAGTAACAATTTATTGAACTGTACTCAAATACACTTATAAACATAGCACAAGCTTAAATTTAGATACTTGTGTTTAATGTTTGTTTCCATTAAGTGAATTTTCAAATTTAATCATATTTTAAGATTGGTTAAGAATTTAATACAGTTCTTAATTTCTTCATAGAACAAATTAAATATAATAAAAATACCTTCTTTATTAAAAGCTCTTACAAATCTTTTTGTTTACTTCTTTAAAACATCACATCAGGCCGGCGCCACGGCTCACTAGGCTAATCCTCCGACTTGAGGCGCGGGCACACCAGGTTCTAGTCCCGGTCAGAGAGCCGGATTCTGTCCTGGTTGCCCCTCTTCCAGGCCAGCTCTCTGCTGTGGCCCAGGAGTGCAGTGGAGGATGGCCCAAGTCCTTGGGCCCTGCACCCCATGGGAGACCAGGAGAAGTACCTGGCTCCTGCCTTCGGATCAGCGTGGTGCGCCGGCCCCGGCGGCCATTGGAGGGTGAACCAACGGCAAAGGAAGACCTTTCTCTCTGTCTCTCTCACTGTCCACTCCGCCTGTCAAAAAAATAAATAAATAAAAAACCATCATATCAAATTTAAAACTATCATAGGTATTGTAGGAATAAGACAAAGCAAAAATTAAAAAATACAGAAAATACAACATGATTAGCAGAAGAGAGGATTCTACACAGCTCACTTACCATCAATACAGCTTAAATAAAAAGTTCAGCAGACAAATATTTTTTTATGAGATATACTTTAGTTTCCTTTGTGTATTGCATAATTAATTCACTATATTTTTAATATTACTAAACATATTAAAGTTTGAAGAAAATAGCCAGTTTTTAACTTTTTGTGAAAAAGCACTTCATACTTAAAACAGTAGTTAGCTCTCAGTAATTATTATTATGTGCAAGATTATTTTTCAACTGAGGTCAATCATATATTTCAGTGTAGAACCACTAGTTTTAGCTATTCCAAGATTGAGTGTGTAATGTTCCATTAGTTTACTAAAATATAAATTATTCTATAGAAGTACAGACTAAAAAAATAGATAACTTTTAAATGTATACAGAGTCAAGTAAATGTTTGGCAAAAGTAAATTTTAAAGAGAGCACATGCAGGTACTGGAAATTTGTCAAGTGTATCTCAAACAAATAATAAATAGGATTATTCGGTAAAAGAGTATAAAATAAGAGCTCTAAAGGATCAAATGACTTTTGAATAAATATATAAGCTATGCTCAATGTTTTGTGTCATGTGTGTGTGTGTGTGTGTGTGTGTGTATATATATAATGCCCAGGTGTCAAATCAACTTTCCTTTTTTTCCAGCATCTTTGGAGGATTTCTCTACAGTAAGCCCTGCAACAACTTCAGGTCAGTATCTATGGAATTTTTAAAAATATAACTTAGTGATCATAAAATTCTGACTTGAGAAGAACACTTTTTTTTTTTTTCTGGCAGCTTTTATTCTTCATGCTGAAATAGAAGAAGCATATATTTGGTTAGGATTGATACAGTTCATAATGCTACAAAGTCCCTAATCTTCCTGTACATATACCGAAGATATACATGTCCAAATTCAATGTTCTTTTTATATTCGAACACTGATTCTGCCAACTACCAGAATCAATGGACATGTTTCACTATCTTTCTGAAAGGCTGCTCCCTGTAAATTTCAAATAATGTTTCCTGATTGTTTCAGAAGTCATCACAAATATCAACTTTGCATATAAATAAATGGTTTTTATATGTAAATTATAATTAAATAATAAATATATTGCTTTTAGTATTATCTATAATAATCATCGTTATCATGATTATAATAGCATTATTTATATCATAATTATAATATTTAAAAGAAGTATTATTTTTAAAACACCACTTGGGCTAGGCACCATATTTTGCAAATTTTAGCTAATTTAATTCTCAGAGTGAATCTTTGAGGGTATATTTTTTCAGTGTAGAAAGAAAAAATTTAGGAATAAATTGTAAGTCCAGGGTCACAGAATTATTAGTTATCAAACTCAAGGATTAAAAATAATTCCTCCTTATTGCAAAGTCTATCAACTAAGCATATCTCATGCTTAGCTTTCAAATAACTTCAAATTAACCTGGTACATTTAAGGTGTATATAATTGTAAAATCAATGAATCCTCATATTTAATTAATTATTAGTGAAAAATATTCTCTTTTGTAGTTGGAAAAGATGAATTAAAATATAATAACCACTAGTCTACAAATCTAGAATTCAATGAAAACTATGTTTGTGAGTTGATGGATTTGTGAATTAGCCTAACTCAATCATCCCACATTGTAAACATACAGAATACATCAGACCTTCATACCATAAATCACACAATGATTTTTGTTAACTAAAAATACAGTTAAAAATGTTTTCTTAGATTCAGATACAAAGGGCACATTCTCATATTAATAGACACTAACAATTCACAGTAACTGCAAAAAAAAAAAAAACAGATAATTAAACAACAGAAGCATACAATTCCCAATAAAAATTTAAAATACATAATTTTTATTTTAATGTTATTTATCATTACAGACAAGCTGACAACCAGCCATCTTCTGACAACACCAGGTCAGTTTTAATATTATTTCTATATATTTAATTAAAATGTAGAAAAATTTATTTGAGACACAAACAGAGAGAACACAACAGAGGAGACAGAGAACTTCCATTCACTCAATCATTCCCCAAATATCCACAATGTCCAGGGTAGGCCAGGGCTGAAGTCAGGAGTTGGAAACTAAACCCACTCAATGAGATGCAGGAACATAATTAATTGGGCCACCACCACTGGCTCCCAGCATTTGCACTGGCAGGAAACTGGAGTCAGAAGCTGGAGCTGAGAATCAAATCCAGGTGGTAAGATATGGAAGATGGGCATCCTACTCCCCAGGCCAAACACACATTCCTCTTTATATTTTCAGAAAGTTTTAATTATGTTTCATATTAGGCTCCTGATAATTCTCTTGTGCCACAATACTTTACAATAAACACAGTTTTGCAGATAGGAAAACTGGAGCATACAAATTTGCTAAAAGTGAACAATACATTTTGGGGGTAATGCTATTTTATCCAACTTCACTTCAGTCTTCTACTGGAACAATGGTTCAAATCAAACACTAAGAATATTATCATGGTTTCCATGAGGGTTGCAAATTTCTTGAGAGGTTAGGAATTTTTTCTTTTTATTATTCTCTCTGTATGTAAGTTAGACATATTTGCATCCCTTATAACAATCTCTTGTTAACATACCATTCCCAACATAGCTTTGTGTTTAGTCATTCAATGATTCTTTGAAGTATCTATTTTGTGGCAACTCTTAGTATTTTTCTTTGAAATAATAATTCCTCTATAACCCTAGTAAAATTGTTCACTGTGCTTCTATCTACTAGTCAACTAAAATACTTTCTTGGTTCTGACATTATGTTCATTTTATTTATTTTTTTTTAAGATTTATTTATTTGAAAGGCAGAGTTACAGAGAGACAGAAAAAGAGAGAGAGAGAGAGAGAGAGACAGAGACAGAGAGAGAGAGGTCTTTCATCTGATGGCTTACTCCCCAGATGGCCAGAATGGCCAGAGCTGTGCCGATCCAGAAAAAGGAGCCAGAAGATCCCCCCGGGTCTCCCACATAGGTGCAGAGGCCCAAGGACTTGGGGCCCTCTTCTGCTGCTTTCCTGTGCCATAGCAGAGAACTGGATCCTAAGTGGAAGAGCTGGGACTCGAACAGGTGCCTATATGAGATGCTGGCACCACTGGCGGCGGTTTAACCTTTTATGCCACAGTTCCAGCACCTCTTCATTTTAAATTACCTGTGTTTGTCCATAACCCCTTGAAGTAAGCTTGATACAGGCAATATTGCATAGATCTCCAATCTGCTTCCCAACAAGAATATTGTACTGCCATCTTTATGTCATTAAAGTTAACACAAAATTTTATATACACACATGAAAAATTATTTTTAAAATTATAAATATACTTCTTAGAAATAAATGATAACTTTGGTGCCAAGTGGTGTTGTAACACAGGTCAAATTAAACAGTTTGTGAAGTATTATTCAAAACACTTCATGAAAGCAGTCATCACAACTCTAAATCCCAGAGACACATAGGATAATCTGAACCTGCTTGCAGCTGTATTTATAATATATCCATAAATCAGCACAAAAGATTGAGCCCATACTTTTTTCTACAAGGCAGATAAAATATTTACAGTATGTAAAATCACCTTTAAATACACTTTTTCAGTACACTATTTTTTAGGATTAATAATGGCTGGGTAGTTTTATTTTATGAAATTTGCTTCTGAAACTTTGAGAGTCAACAACAAACATCTAAATCAGTTCCTTGTTTTCTGTTTAATTTATTGAGTGATTCATGAATGAGGCAGGTAATGAGGTCCCTTTAGTTGTATAAAATTTCACAGGATGACCTAGAGGAAAAATAATGTTAAATAAAGTAACAACTCCTTGGACCTAAAACAAGTTTTTCCCTCTTACCGTCTTGAAGACAAACCTGTCAAAAACATGGGGACTTGGCTGAATCACATGACCATTTTCCTCTGGGTAGAGCAGGGTTGATGAATGAGAGGAAAGAGAGCGCGGTGAAGATCTCCATCCACATTTGCTCTTCTGGGGAGTGGAGCCGAAGTCTCCTTTACTGATTTAAACTGTAACAATAGAGTCAGCAAGCACATAACCCTACTTTCACAGCTTACATCATCAATTGATATTTAAAATAAAATCCAAAAAGTAACATAAACATTTTAAATCATTGCAAAGAATGAGTGAATCTCTCCATTATCTAGTTACGGACACTTGGGGATGGTGTGTTTGCCAGGCTGCCTAAGCTCCTAGAGCTTTTTATTTATTATCTGAACAAATTAAATTGTATTTTCTAGCAGGAGTGAGAAAAGTCCGGCCCACGGGCCATAGAAGGCCTGCAAAATCATTTGGTTTGGCCTTGCCAGGGCAACTGCAGACTGGACAAGAGACTGAATAAACTGATAGTGGCTACTTTTTAAGTTGATGTTTATGTATGGCATCTGGAGATGTAAATAGCCAAATGGCCCTTGGCATAAAAAGGATCTGCATCCCTGCTAGAGTGTGATCGTGAGAATGAAAAGGGAGTGGTACAGAGGCAGTGTTCTGTGGGCAGCTCTGTGGCTGGCACAAGGAAAGGACGCAACCAATCTGAGCCCTTCTTCCTGCCGTTAATGTTTTAACGATGAAACAACAACACAGTTACATATATTTTAAAAAGCTTTTTCAAAACCTAAGGTTAACACAGAATGACTACACTTGGAAATGCTTATTTTAACTAGCCATTTTTTCCAAACATTTCCTTTTATTGGCGACTGTGCTGAATTACCTTAATTAATCCTCTAAGGTAAGTAGGTGGAAAAATATCATATTCCTGTTTTTACTAAATCCATGTAGTACATGGGTCCTCAATAGTTCTCATTTAGTCCTCTCATACAGCAAGATATAGATTTATAGAGGGGAACGAGGCAATTAAACTTGAAAACTGCAGTTTCCAGGCAATAATTTATTATGAATATGCCTTTCAGGGATGTTAAGTTTATTCGCAATTTTATATGCCTGGAAGCCAGAGTTTGAGAAAAATCAACAAATGCATGCATCATATACCTGGCATTAGTACTATTATAAATTCTGCCAAAGAGTACCTTTGTGTGATAACGGATACAAAGTCCATGAGGACTTTTTTTTTTTCTATTGTTCAACTGCCTTTGTTGCCAATTACCGTAAAGTTTTACTAACCCATTTGGAACACTAGGGAAGAGAGCTGGGAACTAAGGTCGCATTACCCAGATTGATTTCTTGGCTGCTACAGAGTGCCTACAGGGTCTGTTTGAGGCAATTGCTCATATGCTTGAAGAGTTCTGAGACTGCAGCTAGTTCTAATCCTTTGTTGCTGACTGTGTAGGCAGACTGAAGAAAAACCAAAGTTTCACTACCATGGGCTTTCTCAACCTCATACAGAATGCAATTTTACTGTAATTCCATTCTGTGGAAGAGTTTGGGGATTGAGGAAAAGAAGTAATTGGCCCATGCAATGAACAGGAAACTGGGCCAAAAGGATCCGAGGTAGGATTATGCACTTCAATTTAATTACCCCAGTGCTGAGATTCACAGACATTATCCAATATCGAATATATTTTGATTTTAAATATTTTTCTTTCTCTGCAATTGATAAAACAACATTTACACATCGCTAGGAACTCTCCTATAGTTTATAAAACCTCTTTCCACATGATCAGGGCTATTAAAATACCTTCACACTGTACTTTCATTTGGTCTGAAAGCCATAATTTTGCTTTAAAAAACAAGCTAGAGGTGTTCTATCAAAGTCAATGAGAATTTCTGTAAGATTACATTGGTCTTTAAAGGCAGACATTCAAGGATGCAGATTCTACTCCCACTACTAAGTAAGATATAAAGATTATGGGCTTCATTTTTCTCAGATAGCTTTGGTCACCAAGTACTATTACCCCCATGTAAATGACAAAGAAAATAAACATCTAAGATTTTCAAACTATGATTTTCAATGTATCTCTTGGGACTGACTTGGAAGAAAAATAACAGATTTTAGCTTTTTTATCCTTCACAATACCTTGTTCATTTTCTGCACAAATTAGTCACATGTGTTTCTTAGCCTCAAGTTGCTGGAAATTGTTTTGCTTCTGGATCACTCTGAAGTAATCACGTATGACTTTCTACTGAATCCTACATGATAGAAATATAATCAGATAATTAAAAACTCTATTTTCAGAATTCAATTAATCAATTTGCTACTGTTTCTATCATTTGCCAAAAATTAGTACATAAGAATGTAACAATACAGATATAAAGTATGTGCAAAGTTTTTTCCCATTCAAATAGCTATTCCTAATATTCAGGCAACTTGATTAGCTTCTAAAAAACTAAACAAATAATTATCATCTTTGTGCACAGTTCTTTAACAGAAATTTATGAAATCCTAAAAATTCTCTGCTCAGAACAGTATAGTATTGTATAGACTTTTTAGAAAAATTAGGGAAAAATAATGAATGAAGTGGTAACAGAAGAGTACAAAAATAAAAAAAAAAAACCTCTAGTGTTAAGAATAAAAGATCATTTAAAAAATGCTCTTGTCAGAAATTATGCATGCATAATGAAATGAGAAGGAGAAAGAAGCCTAAATAAAAATCAAATTGATGCATCCTGATATGGGCTGCCGTTGTATAACAATTCTATTCATTTCCCATTAGTCGTTTCAATACAAGAACCTGTCTTCATAGACTGATCAGCTGAAGGCTGTTTGTGAAACAGTCATCAGAGAGTACAATCTCAACAAGAGCAGTTAATATTTCAACCTTCTAACCAAAATTATTTAAACTAGACTAATTTTCTAATCTCACTATTTTCATAATCACTCTCATGACTTGATCGTTAGTAATTCAATTGTCCACCCCTCAGCACCTTCCCGGATCTTGATCTGGAGCACATCTGGTCTCTGAAGCTCATCAATTATCTTGTAAAATAGCAATTAAGTCCCTGCCCCATCTCCTCTGCCAGAGAGAGAGTTCTAGCCCTTATCAACATTCGCCCAGACTGTGGAAACAGCTTCTCAGTTGGACTCCACACAAATTCCCACATGATCCTAGAATTACCGGTATGGAACATGGCCTGGTCATATCACATACAAATGTAAAATCATCCAGGACTGTTGTCTGTAGAAAAAAAAAATATTTCCAACTGTAAATAAAGAGAAAATGATCCCTCAGAATCTGGTCCCAAACACTCTTCCTGATACGGCTTCCCCTCACATACTGACGTCCAGGTAAATTAGACTCATCTATTTCCATGCACTGATGCACCCCTGTCACATCACAAACCGTAGGTGGTATTCCTTGTACATTTCTAGATACCCTTCAAAATCTAGTTTAAATATGACTTTTCTGAGAAACGTTTTTCATCCTTGCCTGAAAAAGAGGCTCATTATCTAAGCCTTGTGTTCCAAAAGCTTGTTTATATACCTCTTCTTAGAAAATAGTCAATGAACCAGTCTCTCTCACTACACTCAGGGACCAACGAAGGGAGGCTCTGCCTTGCTCATCCTTTCATCCCAACCCCTGGAGTTCCACAACACATAGATGGCAAAGGCTTGTGGAGTAAGTGAAGGATAATGAGATCAAAGGAGTCCAAGTACAGTCACTTTCCAGAATAAGGCTCAATCTAAATTTCCATCGCAGAGATAAAGCATCAGGAAGTGAAGCTCTCATGAGAGGCTTGGGGTCAGACAAAATTATGTATCTTCCTAGTTATATCTCCAAAGCCAATCTCTCAGGAGATGAATGTATACAATTTTAATAGCTGTTGTTAAAATATGACTTACAGTTTCAAGAATTTTGCCTTTTCTCCCTTTATTTATCATTTATGAAATACTATCACATATTATACATTTTCTGGATTACAGATTCCATCAAGGACCCTCTTACAATAATTACAATATGCATTTGAATTTATTAAATACAATTATTATCATTTTTCTTCTGTTAGATTGGGGTATTCTGTAATTTAGGAATGATTCTGACCTTTCTTCTCTCCTAATTTGATGTTAGATATTCCAAGTATTTCCCAATGGTTTATAGTTACTTTTTAATTAGAACAAATTATAAAAGTCTAATTTAGTTGTGTACACTTACATGCTCAGCAACCCTGTTTATAAATATCCCTAGTTTGGAATTATCTTAATAGACTCATTGCTACGAGCACTTCAATTTTCTTAATTAATTTTATCGAACATAAGAATGAATTTCAGAATTTCCTATTTTTAAATCCCAGCAGATGGCAGTAAAGTGTTGACTTTGAAATTAAGAAAAATAACAAAAAATTCCTGTTGAGTCAAAGATTTCAAAAATTTTAAGCCATCATTGTTATTCTAGTCAAAGACAAAAATATTCAAATTCTCACAATACTCTGAAAAGTAGAACTGCATTTCTTTATCATTGGGTATATAAAATATCTAATTTACTTAGTTTTGCACTTCTATTTTCCAGGATATCTTATCAAAGTGAAATTTGTTTCCTGGTGCATTTCTGTCCTTCATATGTAGAAATGGAGCAAGTAAAGGACAAGACAGGCTGAGAGTATGGCCTGGAACCTTGTAGTGTTGTATTTGTATTTCATTATCTATGAATCTCAGACAATATACGAAAAGAGATACTGAACAGAAATATCTAATGGATTTCTTCACTGCTCAATGTAGCAATGTACTAGGAATTTTAGATAATTCATCTTACCATAAAGTGGCTTTTGTTGATAAATTTTACCCTGCAGAACACAAAATTTACTTAAGCCACTCTGTTATCAAATAATAAGTTTGCAAGTAAATAAAGTGGCTACTAGATGTTACAAATGATATGATAAGTTTCCCAGTAAATTGAAGCCCACAGCACTTATAAAAATGTTAGGAGGCATAAACACTAGTCTAGATGCCCAAACTCTAGCATTAATTGGTTAGTGTTAAAATAAAGTAAAAGTTAATTTTAACATCTATATGTGATATTTATGAATTTTTTCCAAAAATGTGAAATTCTATTAATTTTGATAAGTGATGATTTATCAAATTAAAGAAATATTTCTCTTAGAAATTGTAGGATATGCATAGAAGTAAGGACCTGAGAAAATATATATAAGAAATATTCAAATATTTTGTCTTTTACAAACTGGCAATTAAACCTACCATGAGAAAATTTATATTTTTTTCTTTTTTTTTTAAGGAAATTTCTCAATAGAGTGTCTGCCTGGTTCAAGACCTTGTGCTGATGGTGTAACTTGCATAGCCGATGATTTATTTTGTGATGGAGAAGTAGACTGCCAAGATGGTTATGATGAAGACAGTAACATTTGTGGTAAGGTCCCTGCATTCTCCCCCATTCCTTTTTGCCCTCTTTCTCTATAGGCACACACGCACATTCACACAGACACATACTCAAAAATACACATGTGTGCACTTACACAGATCTCAAATATTTGAAATCACTGTTTCTGTAATTACATTTATAATTTAATACAAACTCTAAAATATAATTATATTACTAATCTCTAAACTCTATTACATAATATAAAGATATTAGTTAACAAGAATTTCATTTGGTGACTATGGAAAGAATGCTATGATTAACGATGTCTGCCATGAATATGAGGAACGTGTACCATTATTTTTCATTTATTTTCTATATTAAATTATTCCAAGCCATTATGAATTCGGCTTCTATGTTCTTACTTCTGAGTATTTGTAATGGCTTTTTGTGTTTTTCTTTTCATCATAAAATCATCGTATCCGTCTTGTATTGGTTATTTTTTTTTAAAAAAAGATTTATTTACTTTATTTGAAAGACAGAGTTACTGAAAGGCAGAGGCAGAGAGAGAGAGAGAGAGGTCTTCCATCCTCGGGTTCACTCTCCAAGTGGCTGCAATGGCCAGAGCCAGGCTGATCCAAAATCAGGAGCCAGGAGCTTCTTCCGGGTCTCCCACATGGGCCATCTTCCGCTGCTTCTCCAGGCCATAGCAGAGAGCTGAATCGGAAGTGGAGCAGCTGGGACTCGAACCGGCGCCCATTTGGGATGCCGCCACTTCAGGAGGTGGACTTATCCCACAGTTCCGGCCCCTTTATTGGTCATTTTAGTAGTTCCTACCTCAGTCAGCATTGCCCCTTAATCTAGTTGGTGCTTTTATTCACCTTCTGTAGTTCTATGGAAAATGGCAACCAGTTATAAAGAACAACTTAATGTCTCAGGAATAAAACATTCCATCTTTTATTTGTATATCTTGATATCTGTTTTGTTATTATTAAACACTTGATTACCATTTATTATACACCAAGCATGAATATTAATGACTTAAGTGCATGGATTCCAGTTAGGCGTTTACTAGAAAGTAGCGTCCAAAAGGGATATTTATTTTCATGTGGGATGTGTATGATTACCATACAATTATGAATACAGATTAGTATGCAATGTGAAGAACTATTTGAATAAAGCTAATCTGTAATATGTTTTTGAAAAATTATACAAAAAGCTTGAATTGAACATTTCTTGTGTGTGTATTACAGTCTGTTTGAAAATCAGCCTTGAACACAATTAGTTCCTGAATCACCTGTAGTTAGTTGCTTGCTACACTTCGCTCTTCTATTTTTTGCTACACTATTCTCTTACTTGATGTTAATTGAAAATGAATGTTCCAATAATGACCAAAGTCTTAAAAATTAACTATCCATTTGGTACATACTTCAAAAGACAGGCAGTTGGTTTGTTTCCCAGTACCAACTTAACAAAAGGCAACTCCACAAAGAGACTTCCACTAAGCAATCCCAATTCAAACATTCTTGGATACAATTCAAACCTTCCAAGTTTAACCTCATCCTTTGAAGCACACTCAGAGCATATTGGAAGAAAGTGCAGGCTATGGAATATTTTAAATCTATTTTATATAAATAAGTTACTCAAAGAAGAAAGTAACCTTTTGCTGTGGTTTCAGGCATTTTCCAGAACCTTTTCAGGGAGAATGTAGTCCAAGTGTGCCATCATGAGGTAGCAAAAGTGATGCTGGTTTCCATTTCTAAAACAATGTATGTCACAGATACATACATAGTTTTTAGTCTATATAATTATGGTCAATAACTATAAATGAGGTGAAATGCATAAATGACATATTAGATTAATCAAATAATCAGAAAACATACCGCACCTATTATTTGTTCTCCATCTGCAGAAAGTTAATAGTTTTCACGATGAATTTATTCCAAAGCATATAAATAATAAGTATAGGGGTACCATATAAGTATAAGAATTTATCCTAAAGTTTTAAGGTATGAATTAGTTTTCTAAGCCAATATAAACTCATGAGATGAGCTTCATAGTAGAACCAGATTATTTATCTAAATTTGCTTTCAAGAAATCATCAAACTGCCTTGTTACTTTCAGACATCATGATGGTTTGTGTTTATCATACCTCAGTACTGATTAGCCTTCCATGTCACCAAGTCTCAAGTCTCTAGTTACTCAGTTTTGCATGCTGTTAATTCTCAGGTGTTTTTTTTTTTTAAGATTTATTTATTTATTTACTTATTTATTTGAAAGTCAGTGTTACAGAGAGAGAAGAGAGACAGAGAAATCTTCTATCTGGTAGTTCACTCACCAAATGGCTGCAATGATGGGGGCTGGGCCAGGGCAAAGCCAGCCAGGAGCTTCTTCCATGTCTTCAAGGTGGGTGCAGTGGCCCAGGGACTTGGGCCATCTTGTGCTGCATTCGCAGGCACGTCAGCTGGGAGCAGGAGCTGGAGCAGTGGTACTCAACAGATGACAGCTTAACCCATTGCACCAGGGCACTGGCCCCAAATCTCAAATTTTGTATTTGAAAGTTAGTGTTGTCTCTATTTTGATAAATAAATGCAAATCGTTTGCAGAAGAAATAGTGGAAAAAATCCAATTAATCAATCTTTATCAAGCAAGGATTCAAGAAAATAAACTGTTTTATTCATTTTACTCATCAATGAATCTGAGGTCAAAAGCCTCATGGAGTTCACTTCAGCACAAACTCAACGTATATTAGCATAATATCCACCTGAAAACACTCGCTCATCCATATGCATTCATGAGAAACTTAAAAATTTATTTAGTTTTCTCTAATTGACCTTTTTCCTTACCTTCCCCCCCACCAGCTGTGTGCTCTAACTGTGTGACTAATAGAGTCACATTAATGTTGACTTCCTCTTACAGTTTCTTTTTTAAGACTTTGGTTATTTAAGTTTATACAACTTAGAGCTGACTACAGCTGAACTAAGATTTCTTCCAACTGTTGCTCTCTTCTGAGTAGATTGCATCAGCAAGAAAGTTCACTTTTCAGCTGACCTGTGAGAAGGAAAGAATGCCGACTCACACATTTAGGTCAAGGTGCAGGCCGTTTCGGAAGTTGGTTGGCAAAGTGACTTCACAGTTCACAAGAATTGTATGTATGCTCATAACAGAACTAGATGGGTGGACATGGATCACGTTTGATTCCTATATCCTGGAGAATTGACTGCCCTGGACAAACACAATTTGTAAATAGTTAGCCAGAAGAGGGCGTTCTCAGTGGATCCAAAGCATATATCCTTATGAATCCCATCCCTTCACAGCAGACATTTCTTTATTTTTTTTTTTTAATTTTATTTAAGGTATACAAATTTTATTTATTTCGTATACACAGATTCAGGAACATAATAATATTTTCCACCCTTCCTTCCCACCCACGCTCCAACACTTCCTCCTCCCTCTCCTAGTCCCACTCAATTTGTACAAAAATCTATTTTGAGTTTACTGTATACTCATAAGGTTAACCCTACACTAAGTAAAGAGTTCAACAAATAATATGAAGAAACAGACACTGTTCCTCAACAGTCGAGACAAGGGCTGTTAAAAATTAGTGCATATCCAGTTGATACACTGCAAGTTTCCCAAAGATAAGAACCACATGGCGACAGTTTACCCCAGTAGGCAACTCCCAGCATTCAGCCTACGGATAGCAGGCATAGTAAGTGTTGTAAGGAGGAAATTTTGAAATCTGTCTTGAATTTGGATCCCTGACTTTAAGGGCGGTTTTTTTGTTTTTGTTTTAAGTCTACAAAATTGTCATTCTAGAATGTAGTATATTATGCGAGAGCTTTGTATGTTCAGATGGCATAGTTTGGGGAACAGAAAGGTCAGATCATCTGTGTCTGACTTTGGGCAAAATTAAATGATTGTGTTCCTTTTCTTAGCTGTTTTCTAATATTCCATTTGTTTCAGGTTGTCTATGCCTTTGTTCTCATTTCCATGACTGAAATATTTACAATAAACAATTCATTTATAAAAAAATTAGTGCATAACAAAATGTCAATTTCACTCCTATGGATTCCCTTTTAGGTACTCTCTATTTGTTACCACATATCAGGGAAAACATATGGTATTTTCTTTTTGGAACTGGCTTACAGAACACATTTCTAATAGTATAATTCAATGAATGACAGGACAAGTTCTCTTCACTCAGAATTTTTTTTTTGATGCTGCACTGGAAAGTCTAAAATTTCGCAATCATGAAGACTCATTAATTCTACTCATCTGTAGCTAGTTATATCTTTTTCTCCTCCCAAAATCTGTCCTGCTTCTTTGTCTGTCAAACTAGATTCAGCAGAAGTATCCTGAAATTAAATCCAAAAAATGTCTGAGAATACCCTTAGCACAAGACTAATCATAAAATAATATTTTGGCATTTTGAATGTTTCTTTATAATTAGTTCATTTTATTATTATTTTAAAGATTTATTTTATTTATTTGGAATACAGTGTTACAGAGAGAGAGAGGAGAGAGATAGAGAGAGAGAGACTCCCCAAATGGCCACAACACCCAGAGCTGAGCTGATCCCAAGCCAGGAGCCAAGAGCTTCTTCCCGATCTCCCACATGGGTTCAGAGGCCTAAGGACCTGGGCCATCCTTCATTGCTTTCCCAGGCCCATTAACAGGGAGCTGGATCAGGGAAGTAAATCAGCTGGGACTCAAACTGGCGTCCATAAAGGATGCCAGTGCTGCAGGCGGGGCTTTAACCCACTGTGCCACAGTGCTAGACCCCATTATTATTTTTAAAGATTTATTTATGTGATAGAGTTACAGAGAGACAGGGAGAGAAAGCAAGAGTGAGAGCAAGAGCCGGAGAGAGAGAGCATCCGCTGGTTCACTCCTCAGATGGCCTCAGTGGCCAGGACTGGGCCAGGCCTAAGCCAGATGTCAGGAACTTCATTTGGGTCTCCCATGTGGGTAACAGGCGCCACTACTTGGAACATCTTTCGCTGCTTTTCCCATGTCATCAGCAGGGTATTGGATCAGAAGTGGAACAGCTAGGAAATGAACGTGCACACATTTGGGATGCTGGATTGCAGGCAGTGGCTTTACCCCTATACCACAATGCCAGCCCCTGCAATTTTATTTTAGATGTCGTCAGGAATATCATTCATCACTGCTTGCATGAAGAAGTTTACCAGTGGCCATTTAGTGAAAAATTTCACCTGTAGATGATCTATTCCCAATAAAACTTAAGCTCATAGTAACAGGATGAATTGATCATATTTTTTAGGACAGGCTAAATTTTGGGTAAACACTCAGCAATTTAAGACATTAAGAACTGATTTATTGCCTTTATCATAATCCATGCCAGAAATGCCAACTTCTTGAAAGTTACCCTGTGTGTCTATAGAGTCCTCTATTGTATCCTTTACAATCCATTGACAGATAAGGAAGACAGTTACAAATGAACACAAGGACTTCCACACCACTAATCAGCTCAGCCACATTACTCCGAGTGCCTGCTGTTTGGGGAAGTGAAGTTTAGACACATGCCTAGGATGGAACTATAACAGGGACAGACATAGAACAATCTCTGCCACTGGGGATATCACTCAACTCTGTAAAATATGAAAACTATTATAATTGTATCAACTTCACAAATAAGTTCTAGAAATTCTTAGATTCATTTTGTTTTGTTCATGTTTTAATTCTCTCTTTTTTTTTGGCTTCTCCTTGTTTGTTGTGAAATGCTATTGTAAAAATGATCTGCATTCTACCTTTAAGAATATTGGAAATATGGAATTCTTTTTCTTCAGGATTTCTTGTTCTTACTTTCACTTACGCTTTTCCCTCCTTGCATTTTAGCTCAAAGAATAGATGATGTCATCTATAATCATTTTGTGTATTATAGAACCTTGCAGTACAGCACAGTATATACTACACAAAATAGCATATACCATTTTTGTTAGTTTTTTTTAAGTCTCTTGATCCTTTTTTATTTACTTTTTTAAAGAATTGTTTATTTATTTGAATGGCAGAGCCACAGAGAAGCAGAGGCAGAGAGAAACAGAGAGGCCTTCCATCCGCTGGTTCACTCCCCAGACATCCACCCAAAGCCAGGAGCCAGGAGCCTCCCTTGGGCCTTCTATGCAGTTGCAAGGGCCAAAGGACCTGGGCCATCCTCTACTGCCTTCCCAGGATGCATCAGAAATCTGGATCAGAAGTGGAGCAACAGAGACTCGAACCAATTCCCACATAGGATGCCGGTGCCACAGACTGGGACCACAACCCACTGTGCCACAGCGTTGGCCCCAATCCTTTTTTAATTTAAAGAATTTATGATTAGATTAGATTCTCAGAGTCACAGGAAACAGATGATAATCGCTACGACACAGTTATCATCAATTCTTATGTTAATGTGACATTAATACAAACAGAACAGTTTCAGTGTAGTTCATAGATACAATTCTAATCATTTAGTTTTTATGGTCATTGAAGCTAAGGCATTAATTGACTCTTTTATTTGTCCTGGTTTGCAGTGAGCAGAGATTTGACGATGAGGAAAGAATTTTGCTTTCACAACCAAAAATGCAGCACTGAATTTTAAAAAGTCAAATATTTTATTGTTTATCTTCAAATCATGACAAATCAACTTTCACTGTCCTTTTCTGCTGCAGTAAGTGTTAAACGTGAGGAGACTTATTCAGCTCAACAAGCTAGAATTTCTTTTTCTTTTCCAAAGATCTGTGCTGGATTATTTGGAACTTAATTCTGTTCATAATTTTTTTCTCTTTCCTTGTTTTCCTTCTATTGGTCCATGCCAGGAATCAGTCTGTAAAGTTATAAAGCAGTATAATTCATCCCACAGGTTTTGTTCTTAAACAGACTTTGTATCTTAATGCAATTTTTGCACTTTAAAAAAAAAAAGTCAGACAAAATATGGGATTATAACCAACATTTTCATGTGCTGATCTATTTTTCAAGTTATTTATTTGTCTCTATATTGTATATTTTATGTCATTGAATAGCTTGTAGTGTATAATTTGATAGAATTACTGAATGATATTACAATGTATTTTTCCATCCCTTGGTTTTGGATTAGCTTATTCCAGTTCTCAGACTCTAAAGGCAGAAAATTTAGCTTTTTTTTTTTTTTTTATTTTCCTATTCTCCATCAGTGCTTCTGGCATATGAGGAATTCACAACCTGTACAGAGGAAAAGTCACATTATGGAAAGCATAATTTTAGAAGATAGTGTTGATAGAATTAAGGAATCAAATATGTAGCAAATAACATTAAAAAGATGAAAAAATATGAAAATCTAAAAGAATTCAGAAATAAGTTAAAGACAAGTGATAGTGCATACCAGTAAAGAGAAGTTCATGGAAACATGTGTTATAAGAACTAAAAGAGGAACATGAGTAATCACGGAAAGTAAAAGGCATAATCAAGAATAGTGGCTGAAAAATACTGAGCTCTATAGTGATTCTATCCTAAGGGAGCTAGAGTGATGAAATTTAAAAAACGCATAAAAATAGAATGGATAAGAATGGATAAATTCTCTACAGGCCCCTAACAACATATGTATCCTTTGCCTTGTCTTACTCTCATCATTTTCAGAAGGACATAGTAATTTGTGCATGCATTTTAAACTTGCCTTGCTCCAATTTAATGGGAAAATCAGAATAAAAATTAGCTGTTATTTGTCTAATGTGACAGCTTACAATTCAGATATACATGTTTTCTTAAATATATGATAAAATACACTTAAAATACAACATAGTTTTGGTTGTTTAGAAATACAGTGATCTGAAAGACTGTGATACAGTAAGAGTATTTGAAAAATTCTGATAAATTTTATTTTATTTTTTGAAGATACATTTGTTTATTTTTGAAAGTCACAGTTACAGAGAAAAGAGAGAGAGAGAGAGAGAGAGAATCTTTCATTCCCTAGTTCACCCTCCAGATGGCTGGAAGAAAACCAGGAGCCAGGAGCTTCTTCCAGGTCTCCCACATAGGTGGCAGGAGCCCAAACATTAGGGCCACCTTCCGCTGCTTTTTCCAGGCCATTAGCCAGGATCTGGATTGGAAGTTAAAGAGCTGGTACATGAACCTGTGCCTATATGGGATGTTAATGTCACAGGGGCAGCTTTACCCACTACACCACAACACCAACTCCTCTAATAGATTTTAAACAAGAGATCTGGTTTAGTAGCTTCAGTTTTGTAAAATACTCTTGTATATATTCTGTCATATACACCTATGAAATGCTTATTAGTTTTAATGTCAAGATTGTCTTTGTCTAACTTTCATTGTCTTTTTTTAAACTTTTATTTAATGAATATAAATTTCCAAAGTACATAATATGGATTACAATGGCTTCCCCCCCCATAACGTCCCTCCAACCCGCAACTCGATTCATTTTCGATTCTCTTTATATACAGAAGATCAGTTTAGCATACATTAAGTAAAGATTTCAACAGTTTGCTCCCACACAGAAACATAAAGTGAAAAATACTGTTTGAGTACTAGTTATAGCATTGTTTTTTTTTTTTTTTTTCCAGCCACAGCTTGTGATGGACAATTTTTGTTGACTGGATCTTCTGGGTCTTTCCAGGCTGACCATTATCCAAAGCCTGGATCAAGTACTGTTTGTCAGTGGATTATACAGTAAGACGCCTTCTTCTCTTACCTGTCTTTAATCATGAAGTCTTTTTCTGATGTGATGTCATAGCACTTTAAGTGGTATCTTCAACAACTACAATTTTTATTAGCTACAAAAGAAAGTACACCAAACTCATTAACTTCAAAAAGTTTCTCTTTCATCCTTTACCTTTTAAAAGGATATTCTGTCCTATGAAGACTACTTTTAAAAAAAGATTTATTTACTTATTTGAAAGGCAGAGTTAGTTACAGAGGGAGAGGAAGAGAGAGAGAGAGAGAGAGAGAGAGAGAGAGAGAGAGAGAATCTTCCATCCACTGGTTCACTTCCCAAATTGTGGCAATGACCAGGGCTAGGCCAGAAACCAGGAGTTTCTTCGAGGTTTCCTATGTGGGTAGAGGGGCCCAGGGACTTGAACCATCATCTCGTGTTTTCCCAGGAAATCTAGCAGGGAGCTAGATTTGAAGTTGAACAGCAAGGACTAGAACTGGTGCCCATATGGGATGTTGGTGTTGTAGGTGGTAGATTAACCTGCTGTGCCACAGTACTTTCTAATGAATGGGGTCATCACCTTGCATTTTGTAGTAAGATACCCTTGGCCTGGGCACAAATCGTGTGCTGCCAAGACTAAGGACATTCATGTATGACTGTTTATTGCAAGAAAAAAAGTCCCTCTCACCTGCATCCGCAAACGGAATATAGTTATGCTGTGGTAAACAAGACAGATTGGTTCTAGGATCTGCTATGAATATTGAATGCTCACATTCCTTGTATAAAATGGTATAATGCTTGCATATAACACATATCTCCCTGTACACACTAAACGATCTCTAAATTAGATTACTTAATACAACATAAATGCTATGTAAATAGTTGTTATATTGTATTAGGGAATAGTAAGATTTAAAAGTCTGCACATATTCCATACTGCTGTAATTTTCTTAAAAATACATTTGAACCACATTAGTTAAATGCTCAGATGCAGAACCTGGAAACATGAAAGGTTACAGATTAAGAGCAGGGAACACCCTTTACACACATCATTTTTTTTTCTGCTATACCTTAAAAGACATTCGGAACAGTTACTATATATTTGACCCCATACTCTTATGCTCAATTGAACAATCCAATTATGATAGTGATCAAATAATCAGGCTGTTGTTAGATGAGCTCCCTAAAAGTTTACATCAGAGGTTTTCACAGAAGAGGAATGCCTGATTTCTTCCCAGCTATTCCTTGGGGAAAAGATTTTGTATTCAAATACATATAAGGGATACTAAAATAAATTCTTTATAATGTTTAAAAAGAGGGTGGGACTTCTCAAAACCTTAAATATATTACATTGTGAGGCAAATCTCCAATAAAAACTTTACAGTGAGCCATCAAATATTTCCCCTCACAGTATATGCTGAAGTGTTCCACGGAATTCATTTTGAGAAATTATAGTTAGTTATTTCTCTTAACAGCTGAATGGGACTATGGTTCCCCAACCTTACCTATGGTATAAAAATTTTAATCATTGCCATGGTTCACAAGAAAAGTAAAGGAGTCATTGTAACAGCTGATTAAAGAAAGTTAATACAGAACATCAGGTTCCTGCCAAATGCTAGGAAATGGGTTACTTCCCCATGTAGATATGTCCCAGAAAAAGAAAAGGTTGTTTGACGTATATCTACTTGGCATTACTCAACAGAAAGCACAACATTCTCTATGAAGTATAGCAGCCGGGACTCAAACCAGTGCCCATTGGGACGCCTTTGCCACAAGCAGTGGTCTTATCCACCATGCCGCAGAACCTGCTCCTCTACTCTCTTTAAATCATTTCTATTTTACAGCTCAGCCTCATGTAAAATACATAATATAAATAAGCATAATTTCCTTTGTTTCATATTATAGACAACATACTCTTTGCCCATCAAAAATAAGATTGTGCATTACAAATAGTAACTTTAGGTAATTCTTTCCAATTGAAAAATTAACCAATTTGGAGAACATTGTTTCAAATATATATACAGACTCATCTATAAAATACTGTTACCACTACTCATATGGGAAGTCAAAAATTGTCTTAGTTTTTACACTAGATGTCATTACAAAGTCTTTGAAAACTCTTAGATAACTTCTGCCTAAATGGAAAGCATATATGAACCTTAATCTGAAATTTTAAGTGTACAGTTATGTCTTTAAACAGTCCTTGGAATTTTATTAGGTTAAAATAATATTTTAATCCATTTCTGAATAAAAGTAGTTCAAATTTATATAGTTTATTAGTAAGATACACAAAAAGTTGCTATCATAATTTACATAATAATGATTCTATATTGTTTAACAATCTTTATGTTTCTGTTCTTTTTGCTTCATTTTTATTACTTATTTTAAGAAATCGCCACTGTGGCACAAGTATGGTTTAGATTCTTGAAAAATGTAAAAGAACACCCTAAAATATATATGCTATAGTTTGTTAAGAATATATGAATTAATTAGTCACATAAATAATCTACTTTTTCTTCTCAAAACTGATTACTCTAATAGTGATGCATTTTACCAGATCGCCTTTTGACCTGTGGTGATCAACCCGGGACTAAAGACAATGGTTTTTCTACAAGTCTGCAAAATTAATTACATAGTAATGTTTAAGACGTAATTAAATTGTATTTGGTGCTAGGTGAGACCAGCTTTGACATTACAGTCACATTTACCATAGGGCCAGTGGTGGAGATAGCCTGTATGAGTTCGTATAAACTTCTTCAGCTTCAACATGTATCACTGTTGAAGGGGGTATTTTTCACAGATATAGAGAAAAATTCCAGAAATTCATTTGGGACCAAAAAGTACCTAAATAGGAAAAACATATTGACAAAGAAAAAAAAAACTGTAAGCCTTGTACTGCTTGATTTCAAAATATATTACAAAGTTATTGAAACCAAAACAGTAATGTCCTGGTATAGGAACACATATATAGACCAACAGAATTGAGATTGCAGAAATAAGTCCTTGCATTTGCAGTCAACTCATCTTCAACAAGGGTGTAAAAACCTCACAGCAGGGAAAGGATAGTATATTCAACAAATGATATAGAAAAATATGAAATTCACAAAGAATGACATCAGACCTTAGTACTACACCAAGCACAAAATTCAAGATTAAAATGGATTAAAGGCTTACATATAATAACTGAAACTATAAAATTCCTAGAAGAAAACATAGGGCAAATATTCGTAACATTTATCTTAGCAATGATATCTAGAATATGACACCCTGAACCCAGGCAATAGAAGCAAAATTAGATGAATTGGGTTACATCAAAGTAAAAAAACTTCTGGATAGCAAAGTAAACCATCATCAGAATAAAAAAAGCAACCCATAGAATTGTAGAAAATATTTCAAACTATATATATGGAAGTAAGACCAAAAATATTTAAGGAACTACTACAACTCAATACCAAAAAAATCAAACAAACCCATTTAAAACAAAAAGTAAGTTACCCGACTGAAAATGGAAGAGGCCAGCATGGTGGGTAGTAGGTTAAGCCTCTGCTTGTGATGCATTAATCCCATATGGGAACAGTTTAAATCCTGACTGCTCTGCTTCTAATCCACCTCCATGCTAATGGCCTGGGAAAAGCAGTGGAAGATGGCCTGAGTCCTTGGGCCTCTGCACCCATAAGGGAGATGCGGATGAAGCTCCGGGCTCCTGGCTTCCACCAGGCCCAGTCCCAGCCCTTGTGGCTATTTGGGGAGTGAACTAGCAGATGGAAGATCTCTTTCTCTTTCTCTCTCTGTAACTCTGCTTTTCAAAAACATAAAATAAGTCTTTAAAAAATGAGAATAAACATTCATTATCAGACATACAGATGTCAAACAAGCACATGTAAAGATGTTTAGCATTACTAATTGGAAATGCAGATCAAAACTACAATGAGATATCAACCCATATTTGTTAGAATGACCAGTACCCCCCCCCCCAAAAAAAATGTTGACAAGGACATAGAAAGATTTGAACCCTTGTGCAAGGACAATAGGAATGTTGAATGGTGAGTCAGTTATGGAAACAGTATTTGGGTTCCTCCTAAAGTCAATACTAGAGCCATTAACTGATACAACAATTTTAATTCTGCTTATTGATTCAAAAGAATTGAAATAAGAACCTCCAGGAGATTTCAGCATTTCATTTCAGCATTATTCACAGTAGCCAAGATACAGAAAGAACTTAAATGTTTGTGAACAGATGAAGAGATAAAGGAAATACAGTATACATACAAAATGAAACATCATTTCATCATAAGAAAGAAGGAAATTCTGTAAGCACAATATGACTGAAATTTAAGAATATTATGCTAGGTGAAATAAGGCAAACAAAGGAAGATAAATACCACATGATTGCACTTACGTGAAGCATTCAAAGTAGTTAAACTAAAAATGAAAGTAGATTGGTGTTCGCCAGGCGTTGCGGGCGGAGAGAACAAACGGAGAGCTGCTGATAAATGGATATAGATTTCAAGCACGCAAAAGTTCCAAAGATCTGCTGTGCGATGTTGTGTGCATAGCTAACAATACTATGTTAAAAGGAAGTGTCATATGTTATGTGTTTCCTACTATAAGAAGAAAAATATTCAAACCCTACAATGTGTTAAGAATTACATCACTGTTAAGATATAATCTATATCTTGTTTTTAATTTAGGGTAAACCAAGGACTGTCTATTAAACTGAGCTTCGATTCTTTTAATACGTATTATACAGACCTGTTAAACATTTATGAAGGTGTAGGTCCAAGCAAGATTTTAAGAGGTAAGTTAAAGCAAATATGAATTGATATCAAAATGAAAATATTTGGTGAGCTTTTTGGAGTGGTATGTGTCTACTTCGGTTCAGAACTGAATATAATCGTGCAGTTTAAGTAACCAAGGGAAAAAAGCCAAATTGGTCCTCATTATAAAAACTGAGAAACTGATGTTCTATATAATCTTCTTTATAATAACATGATTTCACATGGTTATCCTCTAATTGATGTTTTGAAAATCATATAAATTTTGCCAAATAAATATAATTATGTATTTTGTTACTATATATTGTGTTAATACTATTCTCTATTAGGCAAAACACAGACAATCCCTAAAAATTATTATTCTATTTTTCTCCCACACTCATTACTTAGTCTCATAGGGTCTCTGTTCTTACTTTCAATGTGTAGAGCTCCTCTGTTTAACACTAATTAAAAGGGTTGAACAGTTTCCAGCACAGGAAGAAGGCTCAGTACAGCCAAATGTAGATGGTGTTGTTGTTCCATGACCATTTATTATTAATACATGATCACTGATGGAATCCATAGAAAGGGCAAGGAACACACTAGTGAAATATCTGCTACCCCACTTTATTATTCCAGCTGGCCCCTATTCATGGTAACCAAAGAAAATAGGGGAAAGTTCTAGGAGGAAATAAAATGAGGATGAAGACAAGATTGTGGAAATAAACCAGGGAATAACAAACTTTGCTCACCCATAGAGTTGAGATATCATTGCAAGGGACTTCTTTTATTATGGTTTAATAATTTTTCCTTTCGCATTTTGCTTGTAGATATTGAAAATATAATCCTATCAAATATTTTGATTGATTTAAAATATTTCACAAATATTTGGGGATATGCTAATAAGCTTAGTTTTATTGGGTGCTTATAGATGTGCTGTACTAAATGATTTCTGTGGATTTTCTAATTTAATATTTTCAACATACCTACAAAGTACACATTACAGAAAAGCAAAATTGTATTGAAAATGTTAAATCAAAAGGTTCACAGAGCTATTTGGCTTGAGGGGAAGAAATTAATCCCCAAACTCTCTGACCTTAAACACATTGCAGTTATTCATTATCCTTTAAGTGCCTGCACACAAATGTGATGAGTACACAAAAAACATATGCACTCATGGTAGTCACATTGGGCTCAAATAAATGGATCAACCTTTTGATAATGTATTTTATTTCTGTATTTAACAGATGTAGTTTCCTAAAATCATGGTTAAAATAATTATTTACTTGGGTGGATAAGTAAGCTATTTCACATAAATATTTGCCAAGGATAATGTCAGATATATAATTTTAGCGTACATTGATCACTTACATTGTGTAAAGTCATTGTGTGTTAGCAACTTAATTTAACCCATAGATGTTCTCCAAACCAATTATGAAGATGCTATTATAATCTCTATAAGTGATAAAATTTAAGTTCATAGAAATTAACTGCACAGTGAGTGCTAGATAGGTTACCCTCATGTTCTTTCACCCTGTTTCTAACCATTTGTCTAAATACTATTTCCACATGCTTGGACTATCAGTAATCCATGAATAAATATTAGAATTATTAGGTTAAGTGGTATAAATAGTGCACCAATAATTATCATAAACTGTAATAAGAAACCAAATACTAAAATAGACAAAAATCAGTAAAAATATCATTAAATTTCAAGAAATTTTAATTTAAATATTTTTAAATAAAAACACATTTTAAAGTTTTGAAAATTAAGTATCTTGGTTTTAACCTGAAAAAATATAAGAAAGAATGCTGGGTGTTAAAATTTAAAATTTTTAAAAGAAATGCAATAATATCTTACCTCCTGCAGTTAGCATATTTTCTGGTGTACTTTTAAAGCTAGGTATTTGTTGATTTAAAATTAAAATAACAGATTTATACTTCTATTATATGGTACTCACAGTATAAATCAACAGAGATAATTTGTATTTCTTAGAAATTTAGAATTATGTCTTTAAAGTAGTGTCAATTTTCTTATTATCAACTCACAATCCTATTTTTATCCAAGTGTTTCAACAAACTTCTCTATACAAGTGATGCTGATAAGATTTGTTTTCATTAAATTCCAACTTAGGATTTATGAGTATCATTCAAATCATTTGTGGAAAATGAGATTTAAAAATAATATGCATTTCCCATTACATTTTGCAGATACCTTGTATATCTCCAGTGCTGTTATTTTATTTCCTTGAAAAATTGATATATTTCACTGAAATTAGGGAAACAAAATTATCTACAGAAATTACAAAGACATAAAAATATCTAATAACTCTAAAATAGTAGCTACGTATTTTGTTAGAGATAAGTCAGTATAAACAAATTCTAAAGGCCCTTTTTCAGTGATTTTTGTGTAGTCATGAGATAAATATTCTGTAACTGGTACTTGTACAGAAAACACCAGATATCTAACAAGGAGACTGGTAAAATAAATGGACATTTAAGACAGAATAAGGTATGCACAACCATAGAAAATATGCTCTGTAATGGTAAAGAGAATGAGAGAAAGTTGGACATTATATAAAAAAGATGACATAAAGTACATTAGGGTCTTCAGGTAAATATGGAAATTGAAGTAAGTCAGAATCAATTATCAGGATAGTTCAAGAAGGTTTCCTTTTAGTTGTAGTCAATGGTCGTTATAATTATCTATCATGAATGGATATGCATGGATGGGATTGAAAATGATTAATGAGTTCTTTTTTTGTTCAGAAAAATCCATAAATGTTTTTATGCATCCTCAAAGACATTAGAAATAGCTCAACTGAACACAGTGAAACTGGTTTCAAAATGCCTAGCCCAGAATATGTGTCTACAAGCACACAGTTGTTCTGCATTCTTGATACCCCAAGTGCTCATGCTAATTAATGACAGTATATCTCAAATAGAACAGCTTAACCTTGCGTAGGACAATACTTACAAAACTGAGGCACTCAGAAGTATTCATAGGCAGTGTATAATCAAAGAATGATGGATTTTCCCCTTAGTTGCCAATTTATCTTACAATAAAACAATCATAATTTGAATAGAAAATTAAATAATAGGTGTAAATATTTTAAAGTAAAATTTTGGAGTAGGCTTTATTCTTTTGTTAAGACATTTCTGTGTATAATGAGAAATATGCATCCATATTTCTGCTGATTAGGGTATAATTCATGGGAAAGTTCAACAAGCACTGACTTACAAAATCATCCCTTCCAGAAGCTTACAAACATTCCCCAACCATGGCACCTAAAAATTAAGGATTGCCTCTTCTGTACACCCATAGCATTTCTCCAGTACTGAGAAATTCCACAGTTAATATTTTTTATTACTCAACAATCTGAATTTTCTAATACAGACCCTCATTATTTCCTCTGTGTGTCATCAGCACATGGTCCCCATACAGAATTCGTAGGAGGCACGCAGTAAAGTATGTTGCCAATAATAGAAATCATTTATGCTATTAATTACCTAAGAAGCATTTGGGATAGAAATAATGCAGAACAACTGTGAGCTTGCAAGCACATTTCTGAGCTTGGCATTTTGACACCTCTATCAGTGTTCATTTGAGCTATGTTTGATGTTTTGGAAATGGGATACTAGGCCTGCTGAATCACACTGTAGAAAGTCTACCATTCCTGTCCATTGCTCACTTTCCAAACTACACTCCATCATTATCATGCTTCCTGGCTTAGCTCTTTCCCAGTGCGTAACCCCCAAAGCATTTGCTGTAAGAAGACAAATGATGAATTATTTCACATTTCAGTGTGACTTCTTGGCAAGACTATGTAAATTAGTATAGCTAGAACTATTGGCATTTCAGCAGAAGAAACTAGATTTTCCTGAGATAACTGTGGCTAAAAATTTGTTCTGTCAGCTAAAATATAATAACAGGAAAAATCTACAGTTTAAAAATTATTAGATAATTGTTTATTTTTTCTTTCAATGTAAGACCTATATTTTTATGTAGAAAAAGGCGATAACTTGGTTTATTCACGTCTTAATATATGCACTGAAATAATGATTAAAATCTCCCATACTCTTACCCAGTGGCAGAAGTACAGAAAGTAAGTCATAATTGCTTCCTTTTCAGAGTGTAAAACCAAGTCTATGAGAAAGAGAAACAATATCTGACATCCACTAAGCATTGACAACACATCAGTCACTGTGTCACCAAAAATTACTTATTTGCTTTTTTTTCTATTTTATGTGTGCTTTATTTATTTATTTATTTTTTTTTTAACTTTAATGAATATAAATTTCCAAAGTACAGCTTATGGATTACAATGGCTTTCCCCCCATAACGTCCCTCCCACCTGCAACCCTCCCCTTATCCACTCCCTCTCCCCTTCCATTCACATCAAGATTCATTTTCGATTCTCTTTATATACAGAAGATCAGTTTAGCATACATTAAGTAAAGATTTCAACAGTTTGCTCCCACACAGAAACATAAAGTGAAAAATACTGTTTGAGTACTAGTTATAGCATTAAATCTCAATGTACAGCACACTAAGGACAAAGATCCTACATGAGGAGTAAGTGCACAGTGACTCCTGTTGTTGACTTAACAAATTGACACTCTTGTTTATGGCATCACTAATCACCTTAGGCTCTTGTCATGAGCTACCAAGGCTATGGAAGCCCCCTGAGTTCACACACAATTATTCTTAGGTGTTTAAATTTTAACTGAAAAGTGATCCCTGTTAGGAATTTGGAAAACATTATGTTGAGTGAAATAAGCCAATCCCAAAGGGACAAATACCACTTGTTCTCCTTGATAGGTGACAACTAACTGAGCACCAAAAAGCAAACCTGTTAAAGTGAAATGAACACTATGAGAAATGGTGACTTGATCAGCCCTCACCCTGACTTGATGAGCAGCTTAATATGTTATCCCTCTTAGTATTTTTTTTGTTTGTTTTACTTAATACTTTTGGTTGAATACTGTAATCAATACACAATTCTTCTTAAGTGCTGAAACTTAACTGAAAAGTGATCGCTGTTAAATATAAGAGTGGGAATAAGAGAGGGAAGAGATGTGCAATGCGGGACATGCTCAAGCTGACTTACCTCAAATGGTAGAGTTAGAAACATACCAGGGGATTCGAATTCAATCCCATCAAGGTGGCATGTACCAATGCCATCTCACTAGTCCCAGTGATCAATTTCTGTTCACAATTGATTGTAATGATAGGACTAAGAACCAAAGGGATCACATAAACAAGAATAGTGTCTGCAAATACTAGCTGATAGAATCAAAAAGGGAGAGAATGGTCCAACATGGGAAGTGAGATACACAGCAGACCCATAGAATGGCAAATGTCCTAACAGCACTCTGGCCTCATAATCAGCCCTTAAGGCATGCGTTTGTAGGTTACAAGTGTTCCAAGTGAAAATGTAGTAATTAGCATATAACAAATTCAGAGATGCTTCCATAAATTCAACTACGATTAAAGTCTCCATGAGTGAGATCCCAGTGGAAAGAATGGGTCATCAAAGAAGGAGGTACCTTTCTCTGAAGGGAGGAGAGAACTTCCATTTTGACCATGGCCTTGTCTAAATATGATCAGAGTTATTTGCTTTTTTTAAGATAACACTGAGATCCAACACATTCCAACCACCCAGGGTCTATTCAGCCACCATCAACAAGAGTGTCAATTTGTAAAGTCAACAACAGGAGTCACTGTGCACTTACTCCTCATGTAGGATCTTTGTCCTTAGTGTGCTGTACATTGAGATTTAATGCTATAACTAGTACTCAAACAGTATTTTTCACTTTATGTTTCTGTATGGGAGCAAACTGTTGAAATCTTTACTTAATGTATGCTAAACTGATCTTCTGTATATAAAGAGAATCGAAAATGAATCTTGATGTGAATGGAAAGGGAGAGGGAGTGGGAAAGGGGAGGATTGTGGGTTGGAGGGATGTTATGCGGGGGAAGCCATTGTAATCCATAAGCTGTACTTTGGAAATTTATATTCATTAAATAAAAGTTAAAAAAAATAAAATAAAAAAGACAAAAGGGAGACTAAAAAACACTGGACAAAGTTAGTGTTGATAAACCAATAGAGCTAAAATGTAATAAAGCACAAGAAGCTTGTGTACATGTTTGTGAAAGTTCTGATGGGATACACAAAACACATTTAACACAGTTCACAATCAAAAGCTGTGTTTTAACCTAAATGAATGAAACAGAGATTAATTTAAGAATTGATTTTGTGCAAGCCACTCAGTTATCAGTTGTAAGATCTTAGACTATTTTCTAAGCAGTCTAATTGTGTTTCTTATATTGTGTAGTTGATTTGAGTTTTGATTTTTTTAATTCACAGATTATGAAAAAATTAACTGTAATTTTGAGGATGGCTTTTGTTTCTGGGTCCAGGATTTAAATGATGATAACGAATGGGAAAGAATTCAGGGAAACACTTTTCCTCCCTTTACTGGACCAAATTTTGACCATACTTTTGGTAATACTTCAGGTAAGAATCATTTTTAATTAATAAATAAAAAGAAAAGGCTTTGTTTTTGCAGTTTAAAGAGAGAGCTAAACAGTCTTTTCACATAATTGTTCTTTAAAATGATAGTCTAATAAATGTTCTTAAATGAAAAGTGATCATCAAATTAGCATGTAAAGCAAATGTATTCCAAGAATTATATTCTTTTGTTTATATATTCATGAGCTGTTGAAAAGTACTCAAGGCTCATTAGAAATAGGCAGATAAGACTGTCACTCTGTATTTGCCACTTATTATTAACTAAGTAGACTCGTGTAAGGTAATTAACTTTTCTGAACTTTGCTTTTTTTTACCTTAATCTCACTTTCTGATTGCTTATTGTTAATGCAAGAAATAAAATGGATTTTTCTATATTGATCTTTTACCATACAGCCTTGCTGAACTAGTTTGTTAACTGATATTTTCTTACAGAATCAATTAGCATTTTCAATATCCAAGATCATATCAACTTGAAATAAAGATATATTTACTTCTTCTGGGAATTCTGTGGAACATTGGTTCTAGAGTAGGGTTCCCAGGGGAGAACTGTGAGTGTAGGTACATTTTTAATGCAAATAGGATATTAGAATTTGACAGCAGGTGGAAATATTAATATTTGATCAAGAAACCCAGAAGTCATGGATAAATATGAGGAGATAAGGAAATCATATGGGGCTGATCACCCATGACAATCTTAGAAGCATGTATTCATCATCCCAAAAATACTCTTCACCATAGAATTTCAAATCTAGATGTGGGTCTTAAAAAGTAAGAAAAATTGAAAAAAGAGCAGAGTGAAAATTTGTGCATTTGTATAATTTCCCTAAGCAAAATCTCTCCTATAGTGTGGCTTGTTGATAGATTATATGAGAGTGCAATTCAATTTTAAACTATGTAAAAGTTTCCTCTAGTCAGGTGTGGCTGTAGGCTTTGAGGACATGTATCACTTATCACCACTTCTACAAAACCCATTTGAACTTCCACATTGAAATTTTCCTTTTCACTCAAACGTCTAAGCACTTTTATTGGTTTTCTTATCACATAGCATTATTTTTGTTTATTTGCTTACTTCTTTTCATCACAGTTGTACTTCCTCATAACAAAATCTGATCTTTTTCACCTTTGAATTTCTAGGACATTCTCAGTAACTGAATCTAATTAACATGTAAAATTGTTTTTGAACATATGAGTGAATGTCTACCACATTGACTCAATAAGTAATTTCTGAATACATCATTAACTGAGTGAAGCAACATAAGAAATATAAGCATATGTGTGTTGTAATTCATGATCAATGGGCACTTCTATTAAAAAGATCAATATTCTCATTTTAATGTATTTATTTATTTATTTGAAAGGCAATGTTGCTGAGAGAAAGGCAGAGAGATGAGACAGACAGAGAGAAAGAGAGACAGAGAGAGATATGTTCCATCCATTGGTTCACTCTCCAAATGGCCACAATAGCCAGGACTGAGCCAAGCAGAAGCCCGGAGCCAGAAGCTTCATCCTGGTCTCCCACATGGGAGCAGGAACTTGGGAACTTGGGCCACCTTCCATTGCTTTCCCATGCACATTAGCAGAGGGCTAGATGGGAAGTAGAACATCCAGGACTAAACCAGTGCCCCACTGGGTTCCCAGCATCACAGGCAATGGCTGTACCCACTATTCCACAGTTGGCCCAAATATCTGCATTTTTATGAACTTAAAAGTAAATGGTTAATTAATGTCATTTTTATATCCAGTTACAAGACATTAAAGAGTTAAATTTTAAGGCTATAAATGTACCTGACTAATTCTGGTTCTTTAGACAATAACATCCTTAGAATACCAACAAATGGTTCATCACACAACAACTTCATCAAAATAAATTTTAGTAACAAGTGACTTCTTTTAGCCTATTTACAATCAAAACTAAAATCCCCTTTTAATTTGTTCTTTTACTCCTTCATTCAAGAAACATTTGTGGGGGCCGAAATTGTTGGTTAAGCCACTGCCTGTGATACCTGCTTTCCATTTGAACACCAAATGTTGTGCCAGCTGCTCACTTCTGTTCCACCTCTCTTTTGATGTTCTTGGGAAAATACATCAGAAGATGGTCCAATTGCTTAGGCCCTTGCCACCCACATGGGAGAACTGGTTGGGGTTCCTGGTTTCTGGCTTTAGCCTGGCCCAACTCCTAACATTTGTAACCATTTGGAGAATGAACCTGCAAACAGAAGCTCTTTCTCTCTCTCTCTCTCTCTATCAAACTTTCAAATAATAAATAAATTTGAAAAAACAAATAAATAGGAAACATTTTTATACCCAGGTGTTATCCAAAGCATTCAGACTGTAACTGCACACAAAATAAACCAAATAATCTGCTCTCATAGACCTCAAAAAATAGCAATATACATGAAAACTAATTAATTTATTATGATATATAACATTTGGATGCATAGTCAGGAGAAGCAATGTTTGGTAAGGGGGAAAAGGAGGGCAGGTATGGAAATGCTATGGAACATTAAAATAGGATGATCAATTTAGGTCTTACTGAAAAGGTGGCATGTGAATCATAATTTAAAGAATTGAAAGAATTAGCTCTATTTCTTATTCCAGATGGGGAAAACAAACAGTTCAATGACTTCAAATGGGAGAGAGACTGACTTGTGTGGAGAAAAGTCAGTGGACTGCTGAGGCTGAAAGGGACTGAGTGGGACCATAGGGTCCAGACAATGATGGATCTTCTAGTTTTGGTGGTTTACAAAGAGAAACAATTAGCTAGTTGAGGTTTTTGAGCATGGGAATAGTAAGATTCCTTTTGATTGGTAGACAGAGAATATTTTGTGGATGGGCAAGAGTATTAAAGGAAGAACACTGGAAATCCATCACCTAGCCCAGAGATAAGGTTGTGGGACCCAGATCAGTGGAAGCAATTTGCAAAGCCTTATTCTGGAAGTATTCTGAAAGTAAACCCTGGGCTAAATTAATTACCAGTGTGTACCTACACATACAAAGTGAGCTCAATGTAGATGGCCAACTCCATAAGACCAATTATTTCTAGCATCAAAAATAATAATGTGAATATTCTCCTACATAATTAATCTTCTTTGAGTAAGGTATTTCACAGAGCCTGATTCTTTATTGGTAAATCAGCCTTGCAGAGCTGAAGACTAATTCCTCTGTGAAAATTGCCCCAGCTCTCTAAAAAGGACTGGCCTACAACAATCGAATAATCAGAACTCCTCCCGCCTTTAGAGTAGTAAGTCTTTAACACTTGGAAGAGTAGTTAGAGGAAAGTAGAGAAAGCATTTATATCTATTGACTATGACAGGTACCTTTTTATGCAGTTGAAATCTTTGATGTTCAAATTATCTTCTTTCTACTTTTATGTCATCATAATAAGAGATAAAATAATTCCACTGATACGTGAAGAATATAAGGACATGACAAGAGAAAAATGGTTTCAGGCTGCCTACGGATTAAATAACTAAAGAAATAAGTTGAAACTGACCGAAGTGAAACAAGTAGAGTGTCACGTGTTGGTTTTAAGTAGTTAAGCAGGAAATGGAGTCTCAGGAGAAAGTCCTTTAGCAGGAGTTATTTAAAATTAGACAGGTTAGAGCAGGTCAGATCCCACCAGAGGCAGCAAAGTAACGAGAATGGATGGTAGGGCTTAATAGGTCCTATCCAGTTCTCGTCCTGTGATTTCATAACCTACCTGTCATTCTGCCACAAGGGGCATTATTCTTTCAACTTACTTTTTTTGTGTTAGAACATCCTACCACGGAAATAGAAGAGAATTAAAGCCCTCCTGCTGTCACGCTTACCTATGCAGGGATTTTCTGTTGCTGTACTCTGCCTTCCCTTTAAATGACAGGAAAACATAAATAAAACAGAGAAACTGAATTAACATCATTTTCAAGAAGAACATCTAAGCCACATTCTCTTTTCTACTCCTCCTGAAGAACTAACTCTCTTGATGGAGTAGCAGCTCCTGATCTCGACTCTGTCAATGACCAGGGTATGGCTGGATCTCTTGAAAGCAGTGGGGATGCATAGACCCGATGGTGCCGATGCGGGAGCATCTTGAGTTGCACAGACGTGACCCATTTACTCAGACGCGTAGGGAAAATGAGTTCAATAGCACGTGAAAGCTACAGAAATGTAGAGGCCACAAAAGATCAAGACAGCACACAGAGAGCTTTTCTATACCTGCCTTTCTAAAAAAAAAAAAATACAGTTGTTTTTAAACATGATGGAGGCAGTATAGTAGGAGTAAAGATGATTGAAATAAGGATCCGCTCTGCAAGTGAGATCCCAGTAGAAAGAACAGGCCATCAAAGAGGAAAGTACTTTCTCTGAAGGGAGGAGAGAACTTCCACTTTGACTATGACCTTGTCTAAATAAGATCACTTCTAAACATTTGTGGGGCTAATGTATATATCTTATCATTAATGTAAAAATTAAAAACTATGTATGCATAAAAGCTTAACCTTAAAAATAATGTTCAAATCATGTTAAAAAGGAATGGACTATTACAGCATACAGAGTTTCTTGCATGTCTGACATGTGCTAAATAAAGGCCAAATGACTTTTATAAGAAAAATCCCTTAGATGAAATTTAAGGACAACTTTGTGGTTAGACTAATAAAATTTTTATGTAAAATGTGATTTTGTACTTTAAAAATTCATAATTTAATGAAAGATTACTTTCATCTTCTAATTTTTGATTATATAATACAGCCATATCATCAAAGTAATACTTTAATATTATATTTTATTAGATCCCACATTGTGCAATTATATGATTTCTATTATATAATGCCTATTCATTTATGCAACATTATAGGGCATATAGTCTACATAATTAATTATGTTTTATGAAGATACTAACACAAAACTCATGGCATCAAGTACTTCTTACACTGAAAATTTCAAATACATTACTACTTAATAAGTAAACAATTGATTTAAAATATTTCGGATTGTAAGTGACTATAAACATGCCAAAGCATAAATCAGAGCATGATATGTTTATATAATTGCAGTGAAATACAAACATTTCTGAATAAACTATTACAGTGCTTGTCCACGTGTTTCACTGATATTTTAAGTCTTTTCACCCTAGCTATGCTCTAAGAAACTACAGAGTAAGATCAACTCAAAGAGGATTTGGAATTGGGCATTTAGAAAGTGGATTCTTGTTCCTCATTTCTGTATTTATGCTAGTTGTTTCTGTTAGGAAATTGAATATTTGGACAAAAATAAGTAGTCAAATATATCAGTGTTAAATAAAATATGAGTAATGTTTTAATAAATAAAATAAAAATTATGTATTCATCTTTACTTTAGATTTTGAAGTTCAGATTCAATTAATGTATATGTATGATATTAATTGAAACATTTGACCATGATTTCAACTTGATAAAATACACATTTAATCTGAATAAATGTTACTTCTCTGGTCTAAATTTGCATTGATATATTTATAAATATTTCTATGGGGGTCTTTTCTTCATATTTTGTTTTTACTCTGCATATTGTCAATGAATGAGTTTGAATTTGAATTTTACATGCAACATTGCCTCTATTTTCTGTTGGAAAGTGTGAAAGGGAAGATGCTTGATTTCCTGCTAACACTAAATTTCAGCATTTCATTAAAAATTGCATTTCAATCATATTAGATTAGTTCAATATTTCATTTTATTTGCATCGTATCACATTTTGTTACCTGATTCCTGCTTCTTGTCATAATACACGAGTTTCAAACTAAAAATAAAATAAATTTTCCCAAGAGAATGTTCAAAATATTCGTACCCCAACAACCATTCGAACACTTCAAATGACTCAAATCATTGGTTGGAATAATGAATTCCACACCAAAAAATTTAATCAGTGGTTTGTGCTATTTTGAGAGCTTTTATATGGATTAGTATGCTTCCTGCTCTTCTGTGATCTGATCAGTTATCATTCAAAGGAAAGGGGAAGATGAAACCACTATACAATCAGTGGCTTATGTAGAGATTTGCAATGTAGTCAATGGAATATAAAACAGAGCCTCTTTGAAACTCTTAACTCTGTATTCAAATTTGTAAATAGTTGGATTTATGATGAATTATTCCACAGGCTTATATAAGCACCCTCATATATGCACTGCCTCTAAATATGTAATTAATCAAAGAATCTAGTAATTTGAAATTAAAGTGGCACATGGACATGTTAACATAACCCATAACAAGTCAGTTTCTGTATCCTGGATGGTGTTGTAGTTTGAGGCTCTCACTTAATAAAGTGAGAGATCCAGAATTCTAAAATTAATTTTCCTAAATAATAGTGTATTGTGGTTAAAAGATGCTGCCTTTTGGGTTTGAGTCTAGTGTCCTGTCCATTTATTGAAGTGTTTCTTTACATTTCATTTAAAGTTTTCTTTTCTTCTTTTCTGTCCATGAATGACATACCCCACATATTAAAGCATGCTAAAACTCAGCTTGGGATGTCCACATTCCACATCAAAGTGCCTGGGTTTGAATCCCAACTCCACTTCCATTCCCAGCTTCCTGCATATGCTTGTCCTTGGAGCTGGCATGCAATGGCTCAAGTATTTTGATTCCTGCTACTAATATGGAAGAATTAGATTGAGTTAGCAACCCCTAGTTTTGGCCTGAACTAGCACCAGCTGTTGCAGGCATTTGAGGAGTCAATCAGCAGATAGACAAGCTCATTCTGTTGGTCTCTATCTCCCCCCTTTATCCCCACCCCTTCATCTTTCTGCCATACAGATAAACAATACATAGATATTTTTTAGAAAATACTAGTATTTAACCAAAATAAATTTTTTTTACAGGATTTTACATTTCTACCCCAACTGGACCAGGAGGGAGACAAGAAACAGTGGTACTTTTAAGTCTTCCTTTAGACCGTACTTTGGAACCAGTCTGCCTTAGTTTCTGGTATGTTGTAAACACAAATGCCATGCTAGCTCATTAAATGCATGCAATTGCCCTTGTTAGGTTATCAAAATGCATGCAATTGCCCTTATTAGGTTATCAGGGTCAGATTTCACTAAGGAGTAAGCCACAGTTTTAAATGCACTATTACTTTTCCAACGAAGATAGTGGCAAAAGTCTGTTAGACTCCCCTTCTCTTCCTGAATAATCCCTACACTGAAGAAAAAACAGAGAATTGCAAGGGAAGGAATTGACTTGAAGAACCATTAAATTTATTTATTATAATATAGAAATTCAAATAGTTTTTGCTTTTTCCAAACTAGGTACTATATGTATGGTGAAAATGTTTATAAATTAAGCATTAATATCAGCAATGCTCAAAATATAGAGAAGACAGTTTTCCAAAAGGAAGGAAATTATGGAGAAAATTGGAATTATGGACAAGTAACATTAAATGAAACAATGGAATTCAAGGTTTGCAAAAGGCTTAATGATAATTCTTTCGTATTCTTTATTATTATGATATTTCTAATGGATAATACAGCAAAGAAATTTATTTTTGAAAGTAGCCCAATCACTTTCTCTACCTTCCCGTTCTACCTCATTTTTTCTTTGACTATGTTTATTTTTATTTACTTATTGATTTATTAGAAAACATCTTAAGAATAACTACATTAAAATACAGTTGATAATAGTCCATAAAATACATGAAAAGCTTGTAGGGTGTTTCAGTTTTCTGATGTGGACATCCTGTCTAACACAGGCTCATTGTGTCTCCTTATCTCTTCCGTGCCTGCCTAGTTATTTCACCTTTTCATAAACACCACCTAGGTCACCCCTGCACTTTCTGGATAATCATCTTTTCCTGTGACGACACTCATGGTTATTCACCTATCCTGCCACATGCAGACCTAATCTCCACATATTTCCTTCAGAAGCACTTTCTATGAGCTGTATCATCAGGAAGTCTCTGATCATTTATTTCACATTAAGGTAAATTAATTTAGCAGATAACAGTTGAATGCGTTTTCTTCCAGAGGGTCTTTCAATTAAAATATAGGGTAATATAGGCTATTAGTTTGACCAAATTAGCAATGTTGTAATTGGCTAATTTCAAACAAGATAGCATCTCCTTCAGAAGATGTGTATTTGGAGAGACACTGTCATTGAGGGCTGCATATCCCTTGTGTCTTGGTATAAGGCAAGCAGTAATCAATGATTCAAATCAGTATTCTTCCTAAGACTTTCTCTCCTTCACTCATGTTTCCTTTTTCTTCTCTTCTTTTTTTCTGATTCTATCCTTTTCTTTGAAGTTTTCTTTTCCAACACGTTTGTCTGATAATTCAAGGAAGGGTAAATGAAAATGGAATATCAAGGGAACAAGAGAAGGTAGAGATGGGGCACTAAGTACAGTAGTATCCAAAAAAGCTAGCTCAACTCACTGAGTACACTTTCTAAATTAACACATGTTGAGTCCATTTTTTTCAGACTTACCTCATCTGGCAGAGTGAGCATGTCAAGCCCTACCAATATTTGCTCTTCGGCTTAGCCGCTTTGTTGAGAGTCAATGTTGTCTCTGGGACTAATTCAGAAGGAGAACATGAGTAAATTCTTAGCACATGTGAACATAAAATAAGACAGTTGGTTTCAGCAAAGGACTTTAAAAAACATGATATACAAATACTTCATCAAAGAGTAATCTGCTCATTGCATAGCTAGAAATTAAAGTATTGATTCTCCAGGAAATTCGGCCACAAGAAGAGTCCGAACAGTGAAGATTAAAGTATAATAATTTCATTTACCTCTCTGAACCACAGGTTGCCTTTAATGCTTTTAAAAGACAGTTACTGAGTGATATAGCACTGGATGACATTACTCTAACACAAGGGGTTTGCAATGAAAGTCTTTATCCAGAACCAACTTTGGTCCCAACTCCACCACCAGAACTTCCTAGTAAGTAATTTTATTTTTCCTTATGAAGTCATTAATATTATAAGATGGATGTTATTCTGAATTGTATTTGTTATTTTAGTCAAATATTGATTTTTCATTGACAGTAAAAGATTTTGACATATGAGTAAAACACAATCTAGCAAAATATTACCTGTTACACAAAAACCCACAATGAAACTCAGTACTTTGTATAGATCATATTTAGTTAGTATCTTTTCATTTTTGAAAGTGATGAAGTTTCTGATTTCCATTTTTTTCATTATAAACTAACCCAATACTGATAATGTGGCATATATAATCTTCGGGGAAGAAGTATTGAGATTCTCTTGAGCTTTCTGAGGCGTGACCTTAAAATTTCCACAAGAGTTTAGATAAGTGTGAAATCACAAATATTGTTTTTAGAATATTTAAATAACAATGATTGATAATGAACTCTGAACTTACTGACCAGAATCATATGAAATATTTTTGTCCTAAAATGATATTTTTGCAAAATTTTGCAATATTCTCCCTCCTGGAGCCATTAAGTTTCTGCAGTTGAATGGTGACAAGAATCCTTAGTGTACTATGGGATCTTTAGAATCTAAAGAACAAATGGAGCCAATGTCTATCTGTATTCTTCAATCAAATTTGGAAACAGGACATCAAACTACTTTTAGACTAGAAAATTTTACAGAAAAAAAAAGGAAAAACCTAAATAATGATAAATGTAATAAAGCCTCCATCATCCCCCTATTGGAATGTTCTCACTACATTTGTGTGTTATGCAAAACATCTCTCTGTCTTTGGATTGTTGAAATTGGAGGCTGATCTAGCTCCACACCTTTGCTTGGGTTAAACTTCATGGATATTTTATCCTGTCATGAATCTAAGCCCACAAACACAGTGCTTAACTCTAGTTGCCATTTCCTTTAACTGCACTTGAAACTACCAAATTCATGTCAAGAGATCAACATGGTGAACTTACTCAAATTTAATTCTTCTTCCAAAACTTCTATTTTTTAAGTTAAAAAGAGTGGAGGTGGGGAGAGAAGACTTTCCAGATGAATGACTTCAGTAACTCATTGACTCTAAAGATAAATTCTGGGCTTATGTAACAAATGTCATTGAATTGAGGCAGCCGTCACCTGCTGCCACTCAAGACATTGGCACAAAGCTGAAATCAGGAGATCTGTGGTTGAAATCCAGGCACCACAAAATGAGCTGTTGCTATACCACGTGACATCCTAAATATTGCACAAAATGCCTCCTCCAGGCCACCACATTAAATGACCAATTATATCTTACCAAAAGACATGGTGCAACTTGCCATCTTGTGCAGTAACATATATATACATATGCTTGTCTGGGTTAAACACAAACTCGTCCATATTTCAAATATTCGATAAAATTTTATAAATAGCTCAATGTGCTAAGTGCCACATAACAAATGGAAGATATATCACTAATCACTGATACATGAAAAAATATTAAATAAATATTTTGAACAACATGTAAATGTGTGCTCTAAAAACAGCATGAGAATATCTCAAAATCTGTGAATAATGGACTTAAATTTTAAGTTTATTTTGGTGTAAAGAATTTTGAGATCCATGCATTCAGGAGTCTTCAGAAAACTCATGGAAATGCATATTATGGAGGAACTATCATGGATTTCAAAGTATTTTCACACCAAAATATACTTATCTGTTAATTTCATTTTTCCACAACTCTTTGTAATCCCTTTATTTATGAGAGAAGTGATAGACTTCTGAGAAGAGTATGAGCTGCAGAAGTCTTTTTTTAAAAAAAAGTAGAGGTATTTATTTATTAGAAAGAGTTACAAAGGTAGAAGGAAAGACAGAGAGAGAAAGAGACAGATCTTCCATCCGTAGGTTCACCCCCCAGATGGCTGCAATGGCCAGAGATGGGCTTACCCAAAGCTGGGAACCAAGAGCTTCATCCCAATCTCTCACATGGATGCAGGGGCCCAAACACTTGGGCCATCTTCTACTGTTATTCACAGGCCATTGGCAGAGAGCTGGATTGGAAGTGAAACATTTGGGACACACACCGGGTGCCAGTGTCACAGGCGGTGGCTTTACCTGTTATGCCACAATGCCAAACACTGCAGAAGTCTTTAAGAATGCATACAGATAGATGATAAAATGAGGGGCTGCATTTGGTTTAGTGGTTAAGATGCCAATTAGAATGCTTCCATCCACTGTCAGAGCTCCTGGCTAGGAAATATACCTGCCTCATGGCTCCAGCTTACTGTTAACTCACACGCTGGTAGGTGGCAGTGATGCCTCAAGGGATGGGTTCCTGCCACCCACGTTGGAAACTTGGATTGAGTTCCCAGCTCCAAGCACTGGCCTGGCATAACCCCAAATGCTTTGGGTTTTCTTTCTCTTTCTCTGGTTTCTTGACTATCACATACTTTTTTTTGTTTTGTTTTGTTTAAAAGGATGACACCCATAAAATTGAAAAAAAGGAAGAAAGTACCATCTGTTCTTATGTAATGGTATTAACTATAAAATTATGAGAAGAAATGAATTTCTTGACAAACTCAAGGTCTAATTCACCTTTGCTTTACCAGTGTCTGGTTGATTCTTGACATCACATAAATAGATGATCAGTAAATGTTATTAAATATGGACAAAACTTCTCTCTCATTGTCTTTCTGTTTTGGTCGTATTCCTCTTTGGGTGATCCATGTTTATCAAAAGAAATTTCATCAACAGTGCTCAAACCTGGATATGATGATGGAGTAGGAACTAAAGAAAAGAAAGATTAATGAAATAATTTGGACTTCCTGGCATTATTTAACCATAATTATCTTACTTTATTTTATGTATCTCACACTGTACCTAACTATATAGAATATTTTTGTATAAACACAACATATTTAAAAGCATTAAAATCATTTGATAAATAATTCTTATAGTCTAAATATTGTCAACATTTTGCTATTTTATATTGAAATCATTAAAATAAATACTTTTTATAACTCTATCAGAATAGTTCTCTATGCACCTATAAGTGACATATTTCACTTATTTTCTTAGTGAAAAATGTCTTTTCATAGGTTTAATATTTATATGTAGCAAAACTCCATTAACTAAAATTCAAAAATTAAAATAGCTTTGTATACATCATGCATATACATAAAACTTTAAATGTTTCCCCATATTAAATATTAATCTGTGTTACTCATACAGTCCTGCATCTATTCTAGTCAGAAAAAAAGATAAAATATTGATGTCAATAGGGAAATTACAATGGCTGAAAAAATCATCTGATTTTAAAATATAATCTTCATAACCTGCCCAGAATATATTTGTACCAGTTTCTAAATGTTTCACTTCAAGGCAATATTTAGCACAGTAGAAAATGTTAATTACCATCAAATGCATTCTGAACAATTTCATTCTAATGTCATTTGCAATTGGTTCAGTGAAATATTTATTTGAGCAGAATTTTCCTGGTTCCAGATCACTGATTTGTTTAAGCAGAAATAAAAGAAAACTATGGGTGACTGGCTAATGGCTTTTCTTTGACTCGCTATGCAGCATTCAAATAAGAAAATAATTCCAGGCTAATAACTGAATAATGAAATTCAGTTTCTTACTTCATTCTTAGGGATTCACACTGTGCCTCATTTAGGGAAATGTAGGTTAAGTTTTCATAATTGCAGGGATTCTCCATTTTTTTAATGTCAATCACTTGCCCTTGTATCAGCTCTATGATTTTTTTGTCCTGTGACATTGGCACAAATTAATTGAAATGTAGGGATTCTATTGAAAACACTGTAAGAAAGTTAACATTTCACAACCACATATGACAATTTAAAAAATTTTCATGATTCATAAAAATATACCTGCTAGGCAGAATAAGTGTATACAAAGAGAAACCCTTATTTCAGGCCCCTGAGTTATTTCTGGAGCTGTCAAAATGAAAGAAAAAAAAAAACAGGCTATAGCTTTAGCTATTTTCAGTATTCACTCTGTATTTCCACAGTTTTGCTCCATTTTCCCATTATTTAAGCCATTTTATATTTCCAAGTGCAAAATCAAAATTAATTCAGCAATTATTATAGACAGAATATAAATAGAGTTAATCAGCCTAACTTTAGTTCTTTACATAGAAATGAACTGGTACCTATGTTTCTCTCATATAATTAATAGCCATATCCAGCAAAGCTGCTTGCTTTCTGTATCATTAGTCTGGCTTAATACTCAAACTCCTACCAAGTTTCATACTTGATGCATTTATAGAGCCCAGTACCATTATGTTTTTGATAGTTCTATTTTGTTAGAATAATTTTGCATTTAAAACTCATAGCTTAATTTTAGGAGATATCATATTGGCTATATTTCTGTTAATAAAAATTGAGATTATAAGAATTGAGATTATAACAATTATAAGAAATGAAAATTAGAATGTTACTGTCATATAGTTAATAAAAGTATATTGTGGGTTGTCTATAATTTGATAATAAAAATATGAATTTTGATAAGCTGAATACAAACTTTTCATGCAGAACTTTGTTTTAAATTACAATCTAAACATCTAAATGCTGTCTGTAATGAACATTGTTACTTGCTAGGGTGTTATGAAACACAATGCTGATTTTAACTGGCCACCTTAAACATTCAGACATGAGTCTGAGGTATTATTTCTTAAGCTACATCTATTACTTCCCTCAATTAATGCAAATCAAGAGCCTGTTTTTCTCATATCTTTATTTCTTATTTTGCCATAGATTTCTTTGAGTTGAGCCATCTTATCATAAGTGGAATCTGAGCTCACCTCCTTCTTACCCCACAGTAAATGCCTCTGCATTGACACATATCTAATGGATGTCAGAAGTTTAAGCATGGATAAAAAATGACAAGCCTCAAGGAAAATTTCTTTTCCTGACAACCACTTTGCAAAATACAGCATGTTATTTACATAGAGTATGCAATGAAAATCCCTCTGGGCACAGTAAGAAATTAATCAGAATACAAATGTTTAAGAGAATAGCTCCCACAAAAAGAAAAATGAAAGAATTTAATTCTATAAATAAATAGGATTCTCTGAACCAGACAGACTGTTCTATTCTCATTCCCTGGGTGAGGATGATTTATCTACAGACACAGCATGACTGATATGCAGAATTGTATTTCATGAATCTTTGGCTCCTGTGTTAAGTACATACTACATCTCCTGTATAACAATGCTACCAATAAAGTAAAGTATGACACCATATTTAGAACAGTTTAAAGTATTTTTGCCAATTCCTTACAGTACTTTATATAAACAGAGAGTAAACAATATATTTACATGGTCATGGAGTAGAGATATCTTACTGACCAACTATTTAATAAGAAATGATAATTTAAATGCATTTCAAGTATTTTAAAAGAAGGAGAAATGCCTTGACAGTTTTAACAATTACACTTGTCAATTTAGTTCTGGTTGTGATTTTTATTAAAGTTATACCTGCTCATTTACACATAACATAATGCACTCTCAGGTGATCCATTATGTAAAAGCTCAACATATTCTCAAAATTATAACTATTTACTAAGTTAGATGCATAGGATCTTGAAAATTTCCTCTTTCTTGAATAGAAAATGAGAATAAAAGTAAAAACAATGACAATAGCAACCAAAAAAATAACACACTGATCACACTTGCATGGTTAAATTTGTAAAATAGGAAGAGTTGACTTCCTGTCTTCAATCTGAAGTGTGACCATTGTTCCTGCTGTTACATTTTCCCTTACAAATTGGTTTTATCAAAATTAATGGAAGCATTTCATGACCATTGAAAATTATGAAAATTAAATGAGCTATGTAAATGTAAGATTTTATAGCGTTAGATACATGAAATGATTGTAACACTCTGGCAGATCCTTTTTCACAAATCCTTGCAAGACAATCACATAATCAAGGAGACTGTTAATTTCTAGTGGAAAATCTGATCTCATTCCTTACTACCAGTTTTTTTTTTTTCTCAAATGCCTTTTCAGCACTCTGTGTACACTGCTTTCTTTATTCTAGATCTATCCATCACTGACTTTACTTGTCATTTTATTCATCCATATTCCCCTCTGCCCTCCTTCTTTTTGTACATGGCTATCAAGTGGTACTTTCTGACACTTAATCTAAACTCTGTCTATGGCTTGGACCAGATGGTGGAAATGATTCAACGTTTACTAAACTCCATGGGAGACTGTAATGTACCCATGAGATGAGCTAGAAATTAAGACTGCTCAAGTATTGACTTGATACTAGACGCATATGTATGGTATCAGTAAGTAACTATGCCAGAAGTTATGGACAATTCTTAGATTCTACGTACAAAACCAGTATTGTGATAGAAATTATCTACTCCACAAATAGTAGGTAAATTAATACAGCAGGGAATGAGTAGGCATATTTCATAAATTATCTCTGATTTATACACCAATCCCCCCCCAAAAAAAACCTTAACATGTATCTTTTTTCTAAAAGAGAAAACCATCTCCAAAAGAAAACTAGATCACATAATTTAGCCCAGCAAATCCAACACATATTCCCTTCAAAAGAGATTATTTATTTTAAAGTCAGATTTACAGAGATTTACAGGCTACAGCCAGGACACAAGTGAGCACCTGTATGGGATGCCAGTGTTGCAATGCCACAGCACTGGCCCCCAACACATCTCCCTTCTGAATACCATGATCCCTAGCAAGTTGAGACAACCTGTATGGAAACATCTTTTAAACAATAAAGTCTTCTAAGAAGACTTTTTATTTTGAATTTTATAAGCTTCATTATTTTATAAGTTCATCCAGGTCTGGACAAGCCTGGTTGAGGAAGGCATATTAGATAATCACAACCCACCTCCCTAATGACTAGGATAGGATGGATTTTATACCACTATTAGGTCAGAGTAAGTAAATGTCTCCCTCTGACCCATCATATGCATCACACAACTCACATTTATGGGTTTGTTATAAATTTGGGACATATACATTCATTTCAAAAAATCTACAAAAGTAAGGCAGATGATACATAAGAGATCAAAGAAGAAGGTTTATGGCTAAAGGCATTGCCATAGGTATACACACCTAAAGATCTCTCCCATAATCTGAACTTTCATTTATTAGAGGTAAGTAAGTTGGTATTATTTACCTTTAATAATAGAAAAATATATATTTACTCCAGTTTTCTATATTATTCAAATTAGATTATTTATTATTATGCTCTGAATTTTAAATATAATGATGGTAGTAAGAATTGGATAAAAATTGAGAAATTTGAAGTACTTGATGAATTTTTACATTACTGTTGAATTTATTTATAATAAAACTATAAATACAAAAAAATAATTTTGAAAAAGCATACTCTCTGAACTAGAAGATTTGTGCTCTGTTATTCTAATTAATTTGCCTTAAGCTCAGACTCAACTTGATCTTTAGAAGTTCCTAATAATATAACCCTTTTACATGAATTTTTCTCTCCTTGCAGTGAAAATTTTTTCCATTAACAAACTCCAAAATTTATCTAGCAAGACTAGTGGCATTACAGCTTTAGCTGCTACTTGCAATGCCCACATCAGATATCAGAGAGACGATTGCAGTCCTGGCTGGTCCATTTGCAATCCAGCCCCCTGTAAAAGTACCCGGGAAGAAATAAATGATGACTCAAGTACTTGAGCCCATGCCACCCATGTGGGAGACCTGGATGGAGTTCCTGCTCCTGTCTTTAGCTTGGGCCAGTCTTGGCTGTTGAAAGCATTTGGCTATTGAACCAGCAGATGAAAGATCTCTTTCTCTCTCTGTCACTCTGTTTTATAAATAAATAAATCTTAAAAAAATAGTTTTTGTCATTAATCATTCTACATTGCATTTTCTTTTCAGCTGACTGCGGGGGACCTTTTGAACTCTGGGAGCCAAATACGACATTCAGCTCCACAAACTTCCCAGACAACTACCCCAATCAGGCTTTCTGTGAGTTATTTCTTTTCCAGGCCATTAGAAATGAATGTATATGTAAAAGTCAGATCCTCAACACGAAAAGTAGATTGTATGAATCAGACATGGTTACAACTACCATGTCTACCTATGACATTTCTTAAAATAACAAGCATAAGAATAATCATTTTATGCCAGGCACTGTTAATGCTTAATATCCATATTATTTCAAATATTTTGATTAATAATTTGTTAAATCAGGTGTATTACTATGATTCCAAATTAAAAGTTTAGTAACAGCAAGTGAAAGATCTAAACTTACTCCAGCTACTGCTCTCTAAATCAATCTCCTTGTTTGTGCATATGTCTAGTGTGTTTAACAAGTTTACATGTCCATACAGTAAAATCAATGGAAACATAAAAGTAGAGTCAAGTGTGACATCCACACCTCTGGCAAATGTAGACAAGAGACAAAAAAAGAAGACACCCAATGTAATAAGATTAGATTTCCACTATTCAAAATTAAATTATATCGGGGGCTGGCATTGTAGGGTAACAGGTAAAGCTGCAGCCTCCAAAGCAAGTATCCCATATGGGCACCAGTTCAAGTCCCAGCTGCTCTACTTCAGATCCAGTTCCATGCTAATGGCCTGGGAAAAGAAGCAGAAGGTAGCCCAAGTGCTTGACCCCTACCAGCCACTTGGGAGATCCAGAAGAAGCTCCTGGCTTTGGCTTCGCCCAGTGCTGGCCATTGCAGCCATTTAGGGAGTGAACCAGAAGATGGAAGAGTCTCTTTCCCTCTCTCTCTCTCTCTGTCTCTTCCTCTCCCTTTGTAACTCTTTCAAATAATAAATATGTAAATAAATCTCTTAAAAAATCAAATTGTAAAGAGAATTACTAAAAATGTATGGAGAGAAATTAGTTTCCTAGAACTGAACAAAGACTGTCTCTGTCAATTTTACTTACTAGAGAAATTAGATTATGATAAAGATGCACATATTATCCCATTCTACAAATATTTTACTAGATTATGTCTGGATTGGAACAGACATATTCTCTTTATGACCATCCTTGGTTAAAATCAATCTGTGAAGAACTCAGCAAGTGAAACAAAGTTCCAATGGCAGTGAGAAATGTGTTGTTAGAAAATAGCAGATTACTTCTTTGGAATGATCCAGAGATAGTAACCATCACTTTCATAGAAAAATATCTATTATAGGGAGATTTCTGATCCCCTAAATTAAGCAACCATTATTTTGACATGGAACAAATTTTCTAGACATATCATTTGAACAACATAACTATTTCAAAAATCCCTGAGTATTGAAAAACAATTTTGACAAATGTCAAACTTTTTATTCAACAAATATTTATTGATTATTTTATTAATTAGCACTAAAGTAAGTAAAAAAAGAATAAACATTTCACAATGTGGATGGAGATTGAGATAAATTGTCAGACATTACAAAATATCCAAAATACTGTTATAATAAGGGAAAGACTGGGCACTGTGTAGAGGAATGTTGAAATATTTAACATACAAAGTAGGAGCATGCCTTTTTGAGTCTTCAAAGAAAATTAAGTATGAGTAAAAGGTGTAATTTTAAGTGTGAAGCAATGTTTTAACATGCTAGGGATTTCAGATTTTATTCTGATAGTACTAAAGAGAAACGTCTAACAGTTTACAAGAAAATAGCGATAAAATAAAACCTGCACTTTATATGAATCCATCTGGCTGTCTTGTAAGAACAGATGGTAAGATAAGAAAGCTCTCAGCATCACCAATTAGCAGATGAGAAATAATGGTGACTTGAACTCTGATAGCAGCAACGGACATTGAAAAGTAAATTGGAGTCAATGACTGTAGCTAGAAGTCTGGCAAACCTTGGTGATTGATTGGATGCGGTAGGAGAGAAGAAATCAAGGAAGATGCCGAGATATGTGGTATAAGCAATTGTGAGTGGACGATTAGTGGTGTCATTCACAAAGACAGAAAAAAGAGGAAGAGAATTGAGTTTGTGAAAGAGATAATTCTGTTTCCTTTAGAATATGGAGGACTTGAGATATGTGTATGAACACACAGTAGATATTAGGATGAATTTGTTTACTCCTCAAAAAAGTGCAGAAAATACAGACTTAGAGGTCATTCCTCTATAGATCTTCTTAGAACTGTACCTATGAACTAATGAAATCTATTATCTACTAATAAAAATTTTAAAAAATCAATCAATTACAAAAGAAAGGAAAAAATTATATTTCTTAAGAGTAAATGAGAAACACTTATACAGAGAAAGTGACCTAGAAAAAGAGCTCAAGGCTAATTTATGAACTCAATAAAAATAAGGAGATTATTTGTCTAATAATATTGCTTTGTTTTGTTTTTAAGTTGAACTATGACCATGTAAGTATATGAATAGAAATAAATATTTACTAAAATTTATCTTAGAAATTGCATTTAAATCACCAAATTTTCTTTAAATTTAAATATGGAAAGTTAAATGAATGATATTTGAATATTAATATTTTAAGGTCATTAATTCTAGATTGAGAGAGGAAAGGCTACTTGCAACCTTTATGTATGAGTATTCTATTTTACATGACACAAATTCAGTTACAGTAAATGATTTCAAATTTGATTGAAAGTTTACTATAAACATTCTTTAGTAAACCAATATATTTCCTCACTAAAACAAAAATTAAAAATAAAATGTTGGTCATCATGAAATATGAAAAAATCTTTCTTAAAAATATGTATATATTGTTTATTTTAAAGCAGAGTTACAGAGTAAGGGAAGGAGAGACAGAGAGACAGAGAGACAGAGAGACAGAGAGAGAGATCTTCTATCCACTGGCTCACTTGCCGAATGGCCCCAATGGCTGGAACTGGGCCAAACCAAATCCAGGAGCCAAGAGCTTCTTCTGAGTCTCCCACATAGCCCAAGCACTTGAGCCATCCTCCTCTGCTTTCCCAGGTGCATTGACAGGGAGTTGGATCTGAAGTAGAGTGGCTGGAAATCGAATAGGTGAAGGGATGCAGACTGCTGCTTAACCTGCTACTCCACAGCACTGGTCCTGAAAAAAAAATCTTTAAAAGTGATTTGAGGGCTGGCACCGTGGCTCACTAGGCTAATCCTCTGCCTTGTGACACCGGCACACCGGGTTCTAGTCCTGGTCGGGGCGCGGATTCTGTCCTGGTTGCCCCTCTTCCAGGCCAGCTCTCTGCTGTGGCCAGGGAGTGCAGTGGAGGATGGCCCAAGTGCTTGGGCCCTGCACCCCATGGGAGACCAGGATAAGTACCTGGCTCCTGCCATTGTATCAGCGCAGTGCGCCCGGCCAGCTGCAGCACGCCTGCTGCGACGGCCATTGGAGGGTGAACCAACGGCAAAGGAAGACCTTTCTTTCTGTCCACTCTGCCTGTCAAGAGATGAAATAATCACAAAGTGATTTGAAATGCTCAAGAAGGTGAAACAAAGGAAAATTAAAAGGAATGTTTCTAAATTGTATTTTTTATTGCTTTTAAGGTGTTTGGTATTTAAATGCAGAAACTGGAAAGAATATACACCTTCATTTTCAAGAATTTGACTTAGAAAATATTGAAGATGTGGTTGAAATTCGAGATGGTGGTGAAGATGATTCTTTGCTCCTAGGTAAGTCTGCAATTTGCATATTACGAAGGTTCGAGATATTGAACTGATGGGGAGAATATTTCTCAGTAAATGTTATCACTTTTTTACAATAAGCAAAATTAAAATACAATAGGATAATACGTTAAGCTTTATGTAAAATTTTCAATATGAAGTATGATTTCAATGGTGACAAAATAATATTCTTCCCGACCTTTCTTGACAAACCAGGATGAATATATTTTTTATATAATTATTTGCTTATTTGAAAGTCAGAATTACAGAGAGAGGGAGAGACAGAGACATCTATTCTCTGGTTCACAATGGGCAGTAGGTTACAATGGGCAGCTCTGGGCCAGGCCGAAGCCAGGAGCCAGAAGCTTCTACCAGGTCTCCCATGTGACTGGCAGGGACCCAAGCACTTAGGCCATCATCTGCTGCTTTTTCCAAGCCTTTAGCAAGGAACCGGTCTGAAATGGAGCAGCTGGGACTCCAGCTGACACCCTTCTGGGATGCCGACTGTGGGTGGCAGTATTATTCACTACCACAACACCAGCCCCCAGGCTTAATATTTCTAAGTCATCTATTCTACCATCTGGCATTAATTGACTACAAGTCTTACATCTTGCAAACTAAGAACTAAAAATGATTTTTAATTCATGTTTCATTATTACTGTCATTGGCTTTGACTATCATACTAACTGCTTCTATATGGCTTTCCAAGAATGATTTACAAAAACACCAAAGTTGATTTATTTCTATTTTCTGCTGATTATTACTTGTTTACATAATATGAGGGGAGTGTACTCTTCTAAATATTTTAAGCCTAGGTCACAAAATATATGTTGACATTAAAAAGCTATCATTCAAACCTAACAGCCTCTATCTTATTTAACTACTATTAATTTCTAAGAAAAATATCTTTTAGGAACCACAAACTAAATTATGAAGAAGTTAAAAGATTTACTGGAATGCATAAGTCTAGTCACTTTATGACTAAAAATATTTTAACTAACTGTACTTTGTACTCATTAATCATTCATTTTATAATCTCACCTGATTTGTCTATGCAATCAGGATGCATTCACTTGAATTTTGCCAACAATGGATGGAAACTCCAGAGGGAACATTTTCTAGCACATGCAGACATTTAGGGTGGAGGACAGGGTTCCTCTGGTATCCAATCTGTCGGCAGAATCCTATAAAGCTCTAGGAGGTAAGCTTTCTGAGAGATTTTGTGTCACACAGAGAACAAGTACATGATGAAAGTTTTGGTGGAGCAAGAAATTTATCAATAACTGAGAAATCTGGGGGTTATTGTGGCTTAGCCATTATGACGTTACTTGGGACTCCTGCTTTCCATGTGGGAGTGTTGGTCTGAGTGCTGACACCACTGCTTCTGATGCAGTTTCCCTGTTAATGTATTCTGGGAGGCTGCAGATGATGGGTCAAGTTCTTGGACCCCTGCCACTCACATAAGAGATCTGGATGGATTTCCTGAGTTCTGACATCAGTGTGACGAAGACCTGGTTGTTGTGGGAATTTGTGGAGTGAACCAGCAGCTAAAAGATATCTCTCAGGGCTGGGATTGTAGCCCAATGGCTTAACCCCACTTCCTCCCACATCCTGTCCCCCTAACTGCTGTGACACCATCATCCCATATCAGAATACCGCGCAAGTCCAGGCAGGTAGGTTTCTGATACAACTCCCTGCTAATAGGTCTTGGAAAGCAGCAGAAAATGACCCAAATACTTACCCTCCCCGCCCCCCCCCGCCATCTATGTAGGAGATATAGTTAGTTCCAGCTTCCTGGCTTTGGCCTGGCCCAGCCTGGCTGTTGTGGCCATTTGGGGAGACAGCCAGCAGATGGAAGTTCTGTCTCTTTGTCACTCTGCCTTTCAAATTAAAAAAAATGAAGCTTAAAAATTTTAAAAGAAAGATTTTTCTCTCTCTGTCTCTCAATCTCTCACTCCACCTTTCATGTTGATGAAAAATAAATAAAAACATTTTAAAAAACTGAGGGATTTCATTGTTGGCTTTTGTATCCATATTTATAATGAATTTTGAGAAAGGTTTCTATTTTCAGATTTATTTTTCTTCTAATAGAATCTAATGTTCCCCTGATCTAATAATGATAAAAATTAATCATTTCACTTCCAAAAAGTTACACAAATCATTGAAAGATGAGTAATTACAAAGGATCTCAATATTATAGTTTTCAAATATGTAGGTGAATATTCTTTTTAAAATAAATCATTTTCAGAGCTTCTAGTTTATAAGACAACTAAAAAGATGAATGTATTTTTTAATTAGGTGAAGAACTGTTTATGAAATCCCCAAAGCCTAGGCATTAAAGGATGATGGGAGAGGGAAGTTGGAAAGTCACTGTTTTAATTTTTATTATTCGTCTCTATTTAATCCAACCATCAGATTAAGTTTATGATTTAACTTACAAAAAATACAAATAATTAAAGATAAAAATTTACTAAGAGAAACTATAATATCTGTTGTTTTTATGAAGATCTTTAAAAGGAGACAAATAGTCATGTGTCTAGGATAGCGTGATCTTTGAACAATAATGTTGGTACACTAAATAATACAAGTAATTCATCAATAAACTATAGAAATGCAGAAACTCCAGTAAGATTGGAAAAGATTGAAATGTTGGCTTTTTAAGAGCAGTGTACGAAATGCACGAGTAAAAGCATATGCATGTCCATTTACACACGGCTGCTTGACAAGTGAATCAGACTGCGTCCGGCTTCACATCTGGAAGATGGAACTGAGATCAGGGGTGTATCTCCTTTTGGTTTCAAAGAATAATTTCACTGATCACCTCACTTTGTCTTTGAGGCAGCTGTGTACACAGGGTCTGGTCCTGTGGAGGATGTGTTTTCTACCACCAGTAGAATGACAGTTCTTTTTATAACTGACACATCAGTGGCAAGCAGTGGCTTTAAAGCAAACTTCACTACTGGCTACCACTTGGGAATTCCAGGTAAGTGTCCTCGAGATCATGAATGACATCAACATTTGGAGCAAAACAATAAAAGGATGCAGGGTTTCATGACCAAAATGCTTTCAAGGCTTGCCGCTAAGATACTCTCTCTGCTTCATCTTAACAAGGATTATCTTCCTTTCCTTATGTCTGTATGACCATTGCCTGAGTTTGTTGGACTCCACAACATTATGCAGCCTATTGACGTGCATTTTTCTAGTGTGTAAAGAGTCTTGAATTTTTCTTGCTAAAGCTGACAGTGTTTAATATTAAAAGTGGAATTTTTAGTCCTGTAAGGAAGGAGGATTTGATGTCATGTTCCATTTACCAAGAGCCATTCAGAAAAGAACAGGGAGACAGGCAAGTGAGCTTTTGGGATGCCAAATCATCCAATTAAAAAGTTAACATCGCTAACCAGTGTAAAGTTACTGCAATAATTTGTTGGCATGAACAACTTTCTCACCCCGGTAATAAAATTATATCCATAGATATATATATAAATATAGATATATGCTTCATAAAGTTCATGGAAAATAAAATTAAATGACATTTCTTTTGGTGCAAAATATTTTGAAATCCATGCATTTGAGAGGTCTTCAAAGAGTTCATGGACTATGAATACAATAAAAATAACTGCATGATTTCAAATTTTTTTGCACCAAAGTAAAATTCTTAAAACAATATTTATTTATGAGAGTTAGAGAAACATACTAGAGAGAGAGAGAGAGGGAGAGAGGGAGAGAGAATGGGAGAGGAAAAGAGAGAGAGGGACTTCCTCCCATCCACTAGGTCAATCTCAAATATCCAGAGTGACCCTGGGCCTGGCCAGGAGCTAAGGCAATGAACTAGGAACTCAATCCAGTCTCCCACGTCAGGGGAACAGATCCAACTATGTAGGTTATCACCTTCCAGATTCTGTATGAGCAGGACGCTAGATTTGGGAGAGGAGTCAGAACTCAAACCCAGTGACTCCTACGTGAGATGCAGATACCCCAATTAGCACCTTAATCACTAAGACAAACACCTGATACAATTTATCTTTCAATACCATTTAACTGCAAATGTTTTGAAGTACCTTCATATATATGTGTGTATAGATATCTTTACATTTTTATATTTAATTTTTGCATTCAAAAATCTGTGAGAATTTGTTTAAACTGGCTGTTTCCCTAAGACTGATTTTTCCAATACTACTGCTCCACAGTACAGTAGTTCTTCCTAGGTACAAACATGACAGAAAGACAGAATGTATGTTAATTCCTCTGTCTATTTTCTGTAGAAGACTCTGCTTTTGTATTTCACCAAAAGTAATAAAACTACGTAGAGTTGGATGACTGATACTCAACTGGCTTATTATTCCCAATATGATTGGGTAATTAAATTATATTTATGTCTGCTACTCCATTCACAATTGTCCTAGATTTTTGGACCCTGCCCAGAAAGTTATGATTTTCAGCTTCACTGCTAATAAAAGATTGACCTGGATTGGTCTACCCTCTGGCTCTGGAAATTAGCCACAACAGTTGTAATTGAAGCTATTTAAGTAAAAGTAATCTCCATTCTATTTAGTATTGCTTTCAAAGTAACTATTTGTGGTAATGCAAATTAATAATACCATTATGGAAGAAAGTATGGAGATTCCTCAAAAAACTAAAAAGAGATTCACCATATGACTACATCATCCTTCTGGGAATATATACAAAGAAAATGAAGGCCAGCGCCGCGGCTCACTAGGCTAATCCTCCGCCTTGCCGCGCCGGCACACTGGGTTCTAGTCCTGGTCGGGGCGCTGGATTCTGTCCCGGTTGCCCCTCTTCCAGGCCAGCTCTCTGCTATGGCCCAGGAGTGCAGTGGAGGATGGCCCAAGTGCTTGGGCCCTGCACCCCATGGGAGACCAGGAGAAGTACCTGGCTCCTGCCATTGGATCAGCGCGGTGTGCCGGCTGCATTGCACTGGCCGTGGTGGCCATTGGAGGGTGAACCAACGGCAAAGGAAGACCTTTCTCTCTGTCTCTCTCTCTCTCACTGTCCACTCTGCCTGTCAAAAAAAAAAAAAAAGAAAAGAAAATGAAGTCCACATGTGAAAGAGATACATGTATACCCATGTTTATTGTAGCATTAACACAATAGCAAAGATTTAGAATCAACCTGGACATCCATCAATGGATAAATAAATAAAATGTGGCATATATACACATGTAATAATAATCATGAAAGGGATGGAATCCTGACATTTGCAACAAAATTGATAGATTTGGAAATAATTATGCTATGCAGAATAATCCAGACAGAGAAAGATAAATACCACATTTTCTCTCTTATGTGAAATCATATGCACACATACACACACATAACTCACACATGCAAAATGTTTGGTGCAGTGGTTAAGATTCAGCCCAAGATGCCCACATCCTGGATTTAAATGCTGCTTCCAATCGTAATCTCAGCTTCCTGCTAATGAATATCTCCGAGGCAGAAGGTGATGGCTCAAGTAATTGCACCCTTCCATCCATGTGGGAGACCCAGATTGAGTTCCAGGCCCCCAGCTTTGTCCTGGCCCAGCCCTCACTGTTGCGGGCATTTGGGTAGTCAAGTAATGGTTGGACTGTCTGTCTCTGTCTCTGTATCTTTCTATGTCTAAAAAATAAAAACAAATAAATAAGTAAACAAACACATAAATAACTTTCAAGAAAACACTACAAAAAAGTGTGATCCATTGCTCCCAACATAGTGAAGATACCAGGGATATAATATAATATAGAGTCTCTTCATATTTTTTGTCCTGTAACGAAATTTCAGTTACTACTATTATGTTACTTATGCAATGAATTATTTCCTAGAGCGAATCCACAATTGAGTCTTCTGTGACCATCATGTGTGGTGAATATGTTGGGAGTATAGTTTGCCATTTCCTCCTGGGAATGGTACATACACTAAAGAAGAGTAGATGGTAGTGGGACTGCATTGTCAAAGACGCAGTCCTTTCCTACTGAGAACTTCTACACCAAAGATTTAAAGGAGATTATGGATATAGGGACTTGGCACCAGAAGATAATCAAGTAGGAAATGGAAAAACATTGAGCTCAGATATATGTTAATCCTGGCATTCTCTTTAGGTGGTCATTTTAGGGAAAACTATATAAAAGTTATCATAAATTATTTTCAAAATTTATGTGTTTCACTTATCTTCTGAGATGTTTTAGTGATACGTTCCAAGACATTCAAATGAAGTATAATATATCATCTAACATTATTCTATCTCTTTCCTTTCTTAACACTTCCATTTGTAATGAAGTAAGTATAAGTAATATAATTTATTAAGATCAGTTTTCTATAAACAACTCTTCATTGCTTTTTCCCAATACTCAGATTCTTAATATGAAATTCAACAGTGCTTTTCAGGCAACTGTGGAAGTGGCAGCTAATTGCATTTAGGAGTTAAGAGCCCTCCCCAAATTGTTTGCCATGTGCCTCAGAGACCAATGTAGTTCCATTTAAAAGCAAGCATATGTTGACTAAATGAGGCAGGGCTACTCGAGACTTCATAAAAAGGAGATAGGGAATTTCAATTCTTAGCAATATTTCTTTTTTCCTTTCTCACCACTAGCATAACACTATCAGAATGAGGTTTCAGAGTCCACAGAGATTGAAACTGTTGGATTAAAGACTTCTTAATGAAGCCAAATTACTATATGTTGCAAAGAATTGGAATCAAGTTTATGCATAAAGAAAGTTTAGAAGGAGTTTATTTATGCTTCCCCTCAGAGTTTATAATTTCTATTCACTTTAGCAACAATAAATCATTTTGTCCCATTCAGCATTTTTCTTACAATTCATTCAGCTTTCAGAAATGTTAACTATTTTTGTAGATTCATAGGCTAAAATCCTAATAGTTTTGGCTAGAACACAAAAGTGAACTATGATATTCAGATACTTTTGCATGCTTTGACTAAAGTGCTTTTATTCAGGTATCTACATTTCATTCCTCTCAATTAATGTGCACTTCTCTATCTCCATGTAGTCTGCTGACCACAATAGCAAAAGAAAAAGTTAATTGGAATTTATCTTTGATTTAGATTATTATTTTAATTTTAATAAGATAAAAAAAGAAATAATTTTAAAATAATTAGTGGTGACTAAAATCTTATGAGTACATTAAGATACCTGATCATACACATGAAATTATAGTTGTCAATTTTACAAATAAACATATATTAACATACAGATTTAAAGTAGAATATATCAATAGCAACACATGTACCTAATTTTAAGCCTTCCTGTTTTTTAAGAGAAAATTAGCACTAGAAAGGTGAAAAGTATATGTACTATATAGTAAAGCTTACCTGTAGAGTACATAATTCTCTTTAATTAGTCATCTCACTAAGTGGAAAAATAAGTTTTCGTGAAACAAATTAATAATTACATTTACAGAAACTTTCCTAATCTATTTTATTTTGAGATATGTAACCTAATTTTCTTATTGTATGTTTGTAAAAGCAACCAGCCATGATTTCCTAGAAATATTTTTATTAAAAGTAACTTAAATTTGAATTTAAAAATACAGGATTTTTTAAAGATTTGTTTATTTATTTGAAAGGCGGAGTTACAAGAGGGGCAGAGGTAGAGGCAGAGAGAGAGAGAGACAGAGACAGAGATAGAGAGAGGTCTTCCATCTGCTGATTCACTCCCCAGATGGCCACAATGGCTGGTGTTGTGCCGATCCGAACCCAGGAGTTTCTTCTGGGTCTCCTACACGAGTGCAGGGGCCCAAGGACTTGGGCCATCTTCTACTGCTTCCCCAGACCATAGTAGAGAGCTGGATCAGAAGTGGAGGAGCCCGAACTTGAACCTGCACCCCTTTGGGATGCCGGCACTGCAGGTGGCGTCTTTACCCTCTAAGCCACAGCGCTGGCCCTAAGAAACTTTTAATGTTTAAATTAGTGTACAAAGAGCTCCAATTACAAATGTAAGAAACCAGGAAGAAAGGACTAAGTGTGGTTTTCTGTTTATCTGATTTTATGAGTTGGAAAGTAGCACAACTGGCACTTAGAAAAAAGAATGTTAACTTAAAAGGTTTATCTAAAAAAAAGTATCTAAGGGACAGTGCTGTGGAGTGGTGGGTCCTACGGCACCCACATCCTATATGGGCACCCATTTGAGTCTGCTGCTTCACTTCTGATCCGCTCTCTGCTGTGGTCTGGGAAAAACAGTACAAAATGGCCCAAGTCCTTGGGCCCCTGTACCCACGTGGGAGACATAGAAAACTCCTGGCTTTGGATCAGCGTAGCTCCAGCCATTTGGCCATCTGGTTATCTCTCTCTTTCCCTGTCCCTGCCTCTCTGTAACTCTTTCTTTTCAAATAAAATAAATAAATCTTTAAAAAAAAGATATTTGTCAAAAAGTTTATCTTAAATCTTACCATCTTTGCTTTTAAGAATATTATCAGTACTTAATTATCTTAATGGGACAACCAAAAAAAAATTTTATATTTGTTTGAGAGGCAGAGAGACAGAGAGTAATAGACAGAGAAGGAGAGAATTCCAATCCTGTAGTTCACTCCCAAAATGCCGCAATGCCCATTACTGGGCCTGGCCATTACTAGGGAATTCAGTCCAGGTCTCCCATGTTGGTGGCAGGAACTCAATTACTTGAGCCATTATCACTGCCTCCCAAGGTGTGATTAGCAGGAAGCTGGAGTCAGAAGCCAGAGCTGGATATAGAACTCAGGTACTCTGGCACAGGATTTACGTATCCTAATCACTAGACTAAACTTCTGCTTGAAAGCTCATGTTTTTAAAATTATTTGTTATTTATTTTATTTAAAAAGGCAGAGTGAGACAGACACTGCATAAGGGCCTGGGTCAAGCTGAAGACAGGAGCCACTTGGATGGCAGAGACCCGAGTGTTTGAGCCATCAAACACCTGCTGCTTCTTAGGGTATGCAGTAACAGAAAGATGGAACCAGAGTGGAGCCAAGACTTGAACACAGCCACTCCAGTATGTGATACATTTTAAACGCTGTGCCAAAAACCCATTTCAACACTCACTTTTAAGTACTAAAATGTACAGTCAAGTATAGCATCAAAACAATCATATCATCTGTTCAAAGCTTCCACTAATTTGGTCACACACCTTGGCCCAATGGCTTAAGAATGATGGAAATACTGGTTGTGTTTCAATTTCCACTTTTTTCCTTTCCTCTTCCTCATAGCTCTAATGTTGGAAGACAGACATAAAGGAAAAATCTATTACGCTGTAGATTTCTTTGGGTTAGCAATGTATTGTGGCTCTCTACGAGCTAGCGTTCTATATAATAATGTTGTAGATTCTTTGGCGCACTCCTGCTCCTCCCTTTCCCCGACTACTGCCCTATAGGCATAGATAGTACTCGTGCACTGCATAGATAATCTCATAATCCTGCTGATCTCCTAATTCCCTCCACACTTTCATTTCTTTGTGCTAGGGCCCACTTGCTCAGATAGGCAGTTGCCATTCCATTTTTTCCTAATGTCTACAAGGCCAGCCTTCTGAATTCTGAATTCATCACACAGGACTTGATCACCAATCAGTTATGTGCTCACAAACTTACAGAAATTAAAGTTACCATATGCCATTTTTTTCACTGTACTTCAACTAATCCAATATTTTTCCAAAACTAAGTAATGAAATCAATTTATTGGCTTTGACCACCATAACGTGTTATGAATTGGGATGGGTAGAATGACATATGGAATAGAATAGAATAGAATAGATCAGAACTGGATAGGATGGAATAGAAGTAAATTTTATTCAGGTACACACACACACACACACACACCCCAACTGCCTTCAGATCTACTCAGTCCCTGTGTGTTCCTCATTCTAAAGATTTGACTTAAAATTTCATACAAAGCATATTTTTTAAAAATCTGAAATCCCCAACACTAGTTCCACAGAAGCATCATCTGCTGTAACTAATTCTGCGGCTCTCCTATACTAAACTCTCAGCAGGACAGTGGGATGCCGGCCTCACTTTGAAGCAACCTGGCATGAATTGTTTCCTCTTACAGCCTCCCACAAGTAGCTTGCAGGATGATACCATTCTCCCCTCACCCACATGTAGGCCTCTCCCTCTAGGACTGTATTCTGTCATATTTTTGAGAAAAATATTCTAAATTTCTGTTTTTAATTGCTGGACATAGATGATGGTATTAATAGTTGCTAGACAAGTCTTTTTGTATTTTAGGTAAATGTTGTATGACCGCTTTTAGCACTTCTCTTCAGATTGTGACAGTATTTATCAATGCTGTCCGATCTGGAACTATAACCTAGATTCTAAAACAACAGGAATGATTCTTTTTACAAGTAGCATAACGTTTGATCATCATGAATTGAGAAAATTTTCAGAGGGGATTATTGTGACTCATTTTTTAAATGATTTCAATTTGAATTGTATTTCCTTCAAAGTAATGTGAAGTTACATTAAGGTATGACTAATTTTGCTAATAGTTTCCTTATCAGGGCTTTTGCTTCCATATAATGATTGTCCATGTCCTGTGTAGGAGATAAGATATTAAATCCGTCCACACCCAGCCCCTATCTCTTTCTCAGGAGATCCCAATCCTATGTGTTCCTCAAGCAATTCCTAGTATCCTTTCAGCATGAGCTATCCTTCCTAAGCCATTGATCATAAAATACCTTGAGAGAAGCAATCCTCTCTCTTCCACTGATATGAGAGTTCTCCCAGGACAAAGTACTTAAGATCAAACAAGTTCAGGAAATATTATTCTCCACTCCATCTAAACAGTGAGTATTTCCGGTCGGCGTCTTTTTGTACAACTCATACTCTGGAAAAAACCACCAACTGCCTCCAAACATATCTAGTCCCTTTTTATCCAACTTTTTTCATTTTCCTTCTGTTTCTTGTGTGCCAAGCATATTTCCAGGCTTCCAGCGCTGCTCTCCTTGTTTGGAGCTCCAATTTCAGCCTGCTATTGCAGGCCTCCTGTTTCTTTGTGACCACTCTTTCCTAGCTGACCGAGTTTTAATTGAATCCACTGTTACAACCTAATCCAACCCTGCTCCTGTCAAAAGACAAGTTCCACATTTCTATATAACAGAAGTTTGGAAAAAGATCAGGCCACTAGGTTGCTCTATGCTTGAGTGAAATTACAATGGCTGTTGCTTGTATGTTCCTTTGCAATGGGGGGATTTATTAAGGAGATGCAAAGATTAACAGTGTGAGATGTCTCTAAAGAACGTTAGCTCCATGTTGGAACTTCCCACAATGGTGTTGTGAAGGAGATGCCTTCAGTTTTATCCATGTTCCTTTAAAGCAACGTGACTCTTTGGCACTAATTCTGAGGTATTCTGACTATTTAAGTGCATGATGCTGTTCAATACCAAAGCTATCTTCACCATGGGCTGTGGCAAAGGATTATTTCTAAAGAAGTGAAAAAAAGAATGAGCCCTCCAAAATCATCAGTTTGTAATATCTTTATCTTATACACTAAATACATGTTTTTTCCTCCACAGAGCCCTGCCAGGAAGAGAGCTTTCAGTGTGGAAATGGAGAGTGTATTCCCTTACCCAATCTCTGTGATGGTCACCCACACTGTAATGATGGCTCAGATGAAGCAAACTGTGGTATGTTTTGTTATCTGCAAAGCAGTCGTATCACCTTTGACTCTACATTTGGATTCTACAAATAGGAAAGGGAGATTATGAGTGTGTATTAATACATGTGCTGATGACTGGGGGTATGGACATCTTCTAATGGCTCCAGCTCCTCTGTGCCCTGTCTGGTTAGAAGAGTCAACATGTAGGTCTCTGTGTTTTATTTGTCTCACTTTGGGTATATTGAATAAGTGAGATTTTATTTTTTCTTAGAGTATGTAGGTATAGTTTGAAATACAATTTTGGTAGATTTAATTTTGCTCTTTCATACAATTATAAAAGTTGAAAACAGAAATATACAAGTTCATGCATCAATACATCAATACATGAAGTTATTCATGAAGAGCATCTTTTATAAACTTAGTCTCTAAATGAATGAAAATTCAAGTTCAGAAACAATTTAAGTAGACATTTTCCACCTCTATTTGCTTCAAAGTGTTTGTAATAGGATAGAGAATTTGATAAAACTAAACAGCAAAAGAGTGAGCACAAAGTAAATAATTTCTGAAATAGAAAGAAACTAAGTGTATAAGATAAGCTCATCATGATTAACTTCATTTTCTGCTTGTTTGCTGCATTGATGCATGATGAACTTGCATATTTCTATCTTTTCAAATTTTATAGTTATTTGAAAGGTCAAAGTTAAATCTACCAAGCATATATTTCAACCTAGGCCTTGTAATATACTGTAAGAAAATCTACAATCTCTAAACTCTAAGAGAACACTGCGTATTTAGAGACCATCACTTACTCTTATCAACTTAGTTCTTTTTTTTTTTTTTACTTTTATTTAATGAATATAAATTTCCAAAGTACGACTTATGGATTACAATGGCTTCCCCCCCATACCATCCCACCCACCCACAACCCTCCCCTTTCCCACTCCCTCTCCCCTTCCATTCACATCAAGATTCATTTTCGATTATCTTAATATACAGAAGATCAGCTTAGCATATATTAAGTAAGGATTTCAACAGTTTGCTCCCACACAGAAACATAAAGTGAAAAATAATAGATGATTTTTTTTAAATGATGATGAAATCAGATCAGACCTATTGTCATGTTTAATCCCAGTGAGAGTCAACTTATCAACTTAGTTCTAAATGGTCTTCTGTGTGATATAATCTCTTTGCTGTGACTTCATAATTCTTCCAGTGTTAGTTTTTTTTGAAATTTTATTATAGATTATAGATTAAGAGATTACAACTGTATATAGTTATAAGGAATAAAGTGATTGGATGTTATTATGTATTTATGCAATGTGGAATTATTCTCCACAGAGCCCTGCCAGGAAGAGAAATTTCAGTGTGAAAATGGAGAGTGTATTCCCTTAGTAAATTTCTGTGATGGTCACCCACACTGTAGTGAAGGCTCAGATGAAGCTCGTTGTGTTTAGTTTTATTATTTGCAAAACAGTTGACCATACATTTGTATTCTACAAATTCTTCTCATTGACAGATTACCATTGGCCTATCAATTAGCTTATTTGTTATTTTTAAGTTGTACCTTTTTCAGTATTGAGGAGATGTGAAAGTTACTTTCTTGGTATTTTTAAAATATGCAATATATTACTGGGAACTATAGTCACATGGTGCACAGTAGATCTCAGAAAAACTATTCTTCCCGTCTACCTGAACCTTGTACCCTTAGATATAACATCCCTCTGCTCCAACTCTCCAGTCTGGTAACTACCACTCTACCTTGCATCTGCAGTACGTCTTTTCAATGGCACAACAGACTATGACGGTTTGGTGCAGTTCAGAATTCAGAATGTATGGCACTTAGCTTGTGCTGACAACTGGACCACACAGATTTCAAATGATGTTTGTCAGTTGCTTGGGCTGGGGTGAGTAATTCTGCTGAATTCTCTTTTAAAAGATTCTCAAACTCTTCTGTTGATATCAACTTGTGTTTATTATGAAATTCAACATTTATCAAATGTATGAATTTGTAAAATGTCCATGAGCAAAAATAAGAACATAAAAGCCATGAATAGCCCCAATTTCAAATAATAAGCACTGTTATAATCTTTTACAAATAATATACAAGTATAAATAGATCATGTTTATAAATAATGCATAAATATTAGTATATCAGGGGCAGACATTGCAGCACAACATTTACGATGTTGACTGGGACTTCCACATCCCATATAGGAGTGCCTGCTTCAAGTGTCAGCTTCTCCAATTCCAATCCAGATTCCTGCTAAGGCCAACCCTGTGAGACCTCAGGTGATAGCTGAAGTAGTTTGGGCCTTGCCCACATGAATTTTCTGGCTCCCAGTTTTGACCTGGATCAGACCTGGTTGTTTCAGGCATATGAGGAGTGAACAGTAGATGGAAGACTTTTATTTCTCTCTCTCTCTGGCTTTTATATAAATAAAAATAAATCTTTACAATTATCATATTATTAAAATATTAAATATTATAATCTGTTGTTAAACTTGCATCAGCATTTTTCGTATTTTTAATATATTTTCCAGATTATCACTTTTTAGGAAAAGGAAATAAAGTGAATTCTGTACCCATGGTGGGGCGCTGATTCCAGGACACTTATGGATAACAAAATACATAGGTGTCCAAGTCTCTTATATATTTACATTTGAAATACATGAAACTTATATACCTTAAATAAAATTTAAAAAAAGAAAATGAATATTATGGAAAAAATTTCTCAGTATTTTAATACAACCTATGCATATCCTCTGTGTACTTTAACTCATTCCTAGATTAATAATATTACCTAGTACAATGTAAATGCTTTGTACATACTGGTTATACAGAATTGTTTGGGGAATAATGACAAGATATAATATCTTTATTTGCTCAGTAGTGACACTACTACAAATATTTTCAATTTGTAGTTGTTTTAATCAAGGAATAAATAACCCACAAATATGGCAGAATAACTGTATTCCAATTTACTATATCCTAATACACATCACTAGTCATAATGGTATTACAGATACATAGATGTGTGCATATACATCTATCTTTGCACCATGTTTACAACACTTCTGAAAAATTTGAAGACATACAACTGATGTGTAAAAGGACATGAAAAAGGCTTTTTCAAGAGGGGTAATACAAATAAAGTTTCCAGTTCATCACTCTCCAACAATGCGTTGCACCTCCACATCTAAATTCAGCATCTAGTACATCAAATACCTAAGTTCACCATGTTAAAGTTTTACCTTTCTATCTCAAAAATAATGAGGGGAAAATGGAAGGTAATGCATAATAATAATTTATTTCTCTCACATTTTATAATCTGTTAACTCTAACTCACCATTCTAATCATTTGGAATTCATGATTTTGAAGATTGGGATTCCCAAACATATTAGGTCACATGTAGATTTTTCCATGACTTATAGCAATACATCATTTACTAGGTTTCTGTCACATTAAATTATGAGGTCTATAAAGATATCAACTATGATTATTGTATTCAATATCACCTTGCTAACATTTAACTTAATTATTATCTCATAAATAGGTGAAATAATAAATTATTATGTTATGAAGGGTCTTCAAAAGTTTATGGAGAATAGAATACATAACATGAGAATAGATAACAATTGTGTTAATCATGCATTTGCTGTGAATTGAACGTGCTAATAAATTCCTTTTAAAAAGTTCATGGAAAATGCATATTATGAAAATGTTATGCATGAATTTCAAAAATGTTTTGCATTGAAGCAAGCTTATCTCTTAATTCTACTTTCCATAATATTTTTCAACACCTTAGTTCATACATATGTACATATAAATGTATCTAGATATTTAGATATATTCCAACATTATCTTTTGTTTTTCCCCTGAAATGGCAATCAATTTCTAATTTCTCCTAAGTTATTTAAAGTAACAGAGTAAAATAATCCATGCATTACTAAATATTTGCATACATCTTCCACATTTGGTAGTTATTACAACTATTTGTACCTCATCAAAATCAATTTAACATTTTTTCTCTACAAGAATACCTTCTATGACTAGTAATTCATATAATTAAACATTATGATGCATAAAATTTTAAGATGTGTTTCAAAGTATTTTTTAATGTTTTAGGTCACAAAATATGTTTTCACTAGAAATAGCATTATGCACATCAGCTGAATTTGTACTGTAGTCCATCAAAGATGTTTAATTCTATTGGAATGAAAGAATTATTTTGTATATTAAAACTCAAGATAGACCCAAGTACTGAGTACAATTATTTTCCCATAGGAATATGCCTGGGGGTCACACTCAGGGTGCCGGGGTGCCCCCAAACTTCTTGCAATTAGGTTGAGACTTTGCAGTTTCTTTTGTCTTCTCAATACATTCTAAATGGGAACAGTTCCAAGCCTCACCCAGTGGTATCAGTCTCATCAGAAAGGCAATCCCTATCAAAAGCCAAGGAAGTGAGTTTTCTTATCCATCACATAAATAATCTTCAATTTGCTTTATGTGTATTAGGAAACTTCCTGTCTGTTTTACATATGTATGAGAGAGTGCATGTATTGTGTGTGAGTGTGTGTGTGTGTGTGTGTGTGTACATATGTGTATGTGTGTAGTCATCCCTTGGAATCTACACAGGATTGCTTCCTGGATCCCCTGCAAATACCAATCTCTGTGATGCAAAAGTCCATTTCATTAAATGGTATAGTATTTGCATGTAACCTGTTCACATAATCCTGTAAACTTTAAATTTCTTATAGATTACTTGTAATACTTAAGATTATGTAAAAGTTAAGAAAATATTAATACTCCTTGAGGGAATGATGACATATTCAGTACACATAATTTATTTTACATTTTTTTTTATCTGTGGGTGTTAAATTTAGGAATATGGAACCCACAGGAATAAAGGGCAGACTGTGTGTGCTTTCTTTATTTTTTTAAATGTTGTGGTTATACACCAAGCGGTTTATTTGAACTCCAAGAGAGGACTGGGAGGAGGGCAGTTTATTAAGGAACAGACTACCATGTACACACAGTAGCATGCACACAAAGACTCACACACATTGTTAAAGAAGCCAAGAAGCTAAACCCACCCCTTAAGCAATGCTTTGAAAATAAAAACCTAAAGTATCCAGTTTTGCAACTGTGCAGATTGCCAGAGTAAAATAAGATTCTGTTAAGAGTAAATGGAGATCAGAATTGGAATGAGTAGCTGGGAACGGGGACGGAACCCCTAAGGGAACCCTAAGGGAAGAGAACTCAATGAATGGTGAGTTCTTAAGTATTTTGCAGAGCTAAGGAAATTACTCCATTTGTCCAAAAGAAAGAATCAGTTGCTCTCTTTGGACTTTGCTTACTAAATGGCATGTATTATGCTTAAACAAATACCAAAGATCCTGCCTGCAGAAACTATATCCTAATAAAACATGTGCATCATTGAAGTCTATCTAAGGATGTACCTTAATTGCATTAGTATCACTCAATTCCCAAGTTTTCAGCTTTCATTACTTCTCCATCAATGTTAGTTTTTCTTAAACGGGCTGAAGAACCCCTTCTCAACATAGGAGATTTTCAGATATAAAGAGTCTTCAAGAGGTTGGGTAACAGGAGGAATAGTAATTTTTGCTAAAGAGTTAACAAAACTCTGAAATGGATATATATATATATATATATATTTTTTTTTTGACAGGCAGAGTGGACAGTGAGAGATACAGACAGAGAGAAAGGTCTTCCTTTACCATTGGTTCACCCTCCAATGGCCGCCGCGGCCAGCGCGCTGTGGCCGGCGCACCGCGCTGATCCGAAGGCAGGAGCCAGGTACTTCTCCTGGTCTCCCATGGGGTGCAGGGCCCAAGCACTTGGGCCATCCTCCACTGCACTCCCTGGCCACAGCAGAGAGCTGGCCTGGAAGAGGGGCAACTGGGACAGAATCCGGCGCCCTGACCGGGACTAGAACCCGGTGTGCCAGCGCTGCAGGCGGAGGATTAGCCTAGTGAGTCACGACACCGGCCAATTGTTTATTCTGATTTCAATTAATGCATGAGTAAGTGGCATTGATTTCAGGTTTCTACATTAATGTTGATTTTAGTTCAAGATCCAGTCCATAGAGATGAAGCCCTAGGAAGTCATTTGCTTCCAGTGTCAAAGAAGCAATGCTGAGGAGAGCTTTATAGACTTTGGAATTTCGTAAAGATTAAGCTAAAGAGATTTGTGACTTGACCTTGTTTCCACAGCTGATGCATTTGAATGTCCTTGGTGATTGGTTTTCACTGCCAAGGAGCTTTGTGTCCTAATTCACTATATTTTGGAGCATCCTCAAATGATTATAAACACAGACATTCTTTACATTGTTGTTTGTGAAATATAACTACGTTTTCTTGAAGATTATATGGGGCTAAGGGGGGTCATTCTTCACAAGGTCAAAATAATCAATATTTTCCTTTGATAGAAATTTTACTTTCAATGTTTTGAATAATATCTCAAGGATATAGCATAGTACTGACTCCTGTATTTGTATGACATAATGTATTGAAAAGGAAACATATAACTTTACTTCATTTTATGTATTTATGTAATATTAGCATATTACATAAATGTTATTTACAAATAATAGCATATGATAAGTATATGTAAGTAAATATATAAAATATGTTGGTTATTCCTGGATCAGAAAGGTAAGCATTAGTGATGATGTCATTTGTTCCATTAGTAAGACATAATCTTTGCTTTAAGGGTTTATGTGACAGGGATTAATAAAGAATAGAGGGCCGGCGCCGTGGCTCACTTGGCTAATCCTCCACGTGTGGTGCCGGCACCCTAGGTTCTAGTCCCATTTGGGGCACCCGGTACTAGTCCCAGTTGCTCCTCTTCCAGTCCAGCTCTCTGCTGTGACCCGGAAGGGCA